GCTGGCTGGCTGTGTGCGTCACACACAGCTGGAAAATCGAGCGGAGAACGAGAGAGTTTTCGTTTTCTATCTACATCTGTGCTTTCCGACTTTTTCAAACTTTCAACTGCACGTGGTTTGATTTGTTTTCCCTCCGAGGATTCAGTGTGCTTGTGTGATTGTGGCGGCCAGCTCAATTTTACGCAGCTTGTGCTTTTTGCATTTTATGCGTTTTTGCTTTTTACGAGCCTCACGTCGACCCAAGCACACACACACAGCATACACACAGCACACACCACAAACAAATTCAAATGGCAAATGTCGCAAAACGAATCGCGATCTGAGCTAAAAGCCAAAGCTGATAAGTGCCCGCAAAAGTAGGCAACAATTTTTTTCATTGCTTCCTGAGCTCGCTTCTGTGTCCCATTTAATTGCAAATTTATGCGAATGTGTATGCTTGAAAGGGGGCCCAGGTAGGGGACGGGGAAAAATTAATGACTGAAACTGCGTAACGAGCTTTTCAATAAAGAGCCCCCCTCTGATTGAGATTGGATCGAGAATGCGATTGGTTGCTCCATTAATTAACGATGAGTTTTTCCCGGTGAAAGTCTGCATTTATATATTGTATCCTGGAATCCTTTTTCGACCACTCATTCACGATAGGCATTTAAAATTGTTCAATTAACGTTGCCATAGTTGACTTTTTGGGGTTTTAATTCGAAAACCATAATCGAAACCCTAAAACTAATTAACGAAATGCTCTGTGTATTCAATTTTTCGCAACCGACGCACTCAAATGAGTGCAATTAATACACAAATTATTAAACAAATAACGAAATGCAATCGTGGCGGCTGACACACACCTCCGACCACTTAAAATCGACAACAATAACAGGACAACAGCCACAACAATAATAATTACAAACCAATTAAATGCATATTTACATATTGTCTTTGTCATAATGCAGTCGAAGATACAGAAACATATACAACACATGCATTGCATTCGTCTGTCTGTCGCCGGGGAATCGACAACAACAACAGCAGCAACAGCAACAACATCGACAACTGATTGACGGCAAACTGTCAATGGCACGAACCCGACTCACAAGCAGGCTATTACCCACCCACACAAGGCCACAACCACACACACACACAGTGACTCACCCACTCACTCATAGGCAATTGCATTTGCTAGCTACGTGTGGTAGTATGGGTGGGAGAGAGGACAGGAGAGACAAGATTAAGCAAATATTGCGGTAAACTCAATTTTCAATTCAACGCAATTGAATGAGTCGCAATCACTTGAGCGGCAAAAGGCGTGAATAAAATACAATTTCCAACATGGCTGACACTAGGTTGCGGTCGATCAGGCATCCAGAATTCAATATTCGTTCGTCAATATTCGAATAACTGTGAAATAGAAAGCCTAAATTCCATTGTCGGACTAAAAGGGTTTTCATACCTATTTGCACCTAACAGAAACAGGGACTAGCAACGGTACTACGAAGTAGCTGCGGGCCAGCCATTATATGCCAATTGCATTTCCCCACATTTCTCCACGCACATTCACACTGCGAGAAAGTGGAGAGTACTACAACTAGAGATGAAACTATCGATAGAATCGATAAAGATAAATAATCAGTATATCCTGTGAAAGTTAAGCCACTTTTATAAATTATCTCTTTTGTGTTTTCTTAAATTTCTCGCAGTGCACTGTGCACAGTCGCATCTGGTCTATTAGACTGGTCAGTTGGCCAGTTGACATCCCTCACGAGTCTCTTGCCGTCTTCCGTCTCCTTTGGCTAATGCGGCCACTGGGCAGCCAACTGTTTCGTCCTCATCACCTCGCCCCCTGCTCGCAGGACATCGCCCCTTGTGCTCCCTAGTTGGCTCTCTCTCTCGTTCTCTATACAAGTTCTGTTGATTTTGCCCTTTGGCTGACACAGAATGTTGTTGACTTTGCATATTAAAACAAAATGAAAATGCAGGAGCGGGCAACAAAAACGACAACTGGTGAGCGTTGTTGAAAGATGCGGAATAAGGAGGCAGGTCCTGGGCACTTAGAAGGCTACTTTTTCATTTGTGACGCCCACGTTAAACTTTAATTAATTATATACAGTTTGTTTGGCAAATTAAAAATTGTTGACTTTAACAGAATCGCAGAATGATGACGAGGACGAGGGTAGAGAGGAGGAGTGGGAGAATTTTAATTAGACAAGCAAGGACTCGCACACAACAAAACAACCCACACACACACGTACAGACAACGAAACTGTTGCGTAAGCGGCTTAAAGTGCGAAAACCGGTAGAACAGTTGCTGGCCAAAATGTGAAATGCTGTCGAGTGTGACGTTCAATAAGAATTAGTGGCCAACAGGAGCATCGGAAAGGAAGGCAGCTGAGTATTGCCATTGATTGACACGCAAAGCGAACACGCTTTCAGACTGGCCGGGTCTGAAATTGGTTGACAGGGCAGGGCCAGGGCGGTGGAAACCTACTTTTCGGATGCCTCCGAACCGGGGTGAGAGCTGTGATGGAAGGAACTCTTCATCGTGGCCATCCACGCTAATTGGAGCACGTCGCAGGACACTCTTACACTGAGAGGGAAACTCACAGTCCTTAAGAAGTGCTTATGATGGGCTTTTCCTATATCTGTGTGAAGTATGATAATCTTTAAATGCTAGTATTATTGTTTTAAACATTTTTAAATGAGTTTATTCCTGGAAATCCTTTTTTTTTACAGTGTAGCTCTCATACCAACGCATCTGCGGAAAGGTGAAAACGAAGAAATGCACTTAATTGGAATACGAGGCAGAGGGCAGTGACAGTGCCATAGCTCTATGATTAATTAGTGGCCACAACAGGAGCGAGTGGGTCCTGAGGAGCCCCCCCTAGATGATTGATATGTTTTAGGAACTTTCCACGCTTTTCACGAATCAACATGAATCGACATGAATCTATTCAAAAGCAATTTAGTATCCAGTGTCAGGTTGCTCCTTCTACCAGAGTGTGTAACTGGAGGAGCAGCTGGCATCGGAATTCTGTCAGAGTTGCCAGGCAACCTCCTGGGAGAGTCCTTTCCTCCTTCCCCGCAGATGCCAGCTTTTGTCGAGACGTTTGTCGCGTTTCGTCTTACGCATAATTAGCCGGCGTAAGTAAACTCCTTAAGCTGCAGTTAAAAGCCATAAAACTTGCGCGCATCGTTTGCTGTCATGTTAAATTCATAATTTCAATTTCAAATTGTTATTACAGCCGTCGCTCTGTTACCATGCCCCCACAGTCCCCACACCCTCGCCATTATCCTTAGCATCCCCCTTTGGCCGGCGCTCACGTTCCAGCCTGATTATTATTGACAGTTGCCGACGTTTTCTTCATCGCTGATGTTGCCGTGCTTTTTGCTGTTGTTTTATTTAGTTGTTTCACGCCAACCCCCCCTACCCCATACCCCCTCATATCTACCCTATCCCTATCCTGCTCATTTTAGTCTCATAAATATGCAAATTAATCATTTGCGGAAATTTACATACTTAATAAGTCGCTTTAATTAAATGTTCACGCACGCATGCCTTGCAATCTTGCCCCTGAGAATCGGATGAAATCGGTGGAATCTGAATCTGAAATTTGGAATCTGAATCCCTTTTTTCGCCATTAATGCCAGCTTGTTAATTGTGAATGCAGCCAAAAAATCTGTATCTGGCTCTATAGCTTTGCATTTCCATGGTACAAAAAAAAAGGACTCGTTTCTGCGGGCTTTGCAGAAAGCCTGCCCCACAGCCTGCCAGGAGCTGGCAACTGTTTCGCATATTTCGGGACACAGTCACGTTCCATTCAAAGCGCCAACAAAAACAGTTTATCTGCCAAAAAAAAAAGTTGAAAAAAGAAGTACCAGCTAGAGAGAACTGAAATCTTTTTTTATGTGTTGAACGAAAAAAATTTCCAAAAATGAGCACCAGGACCCGGCCAGGACGAGGCTCACTACCAGTACCGGGAGCCTTAAAAAGAGGCATGCAAACTCTGAGGCGCAGCGAACATAAATTAACATTTTTATGCCCCGCTGCAATGGGCCAAAAAAAAAGAAGTTGGCTCGCAAAGGAGGGTTGGGGTGGCCGGCAGCCAAGGGGGTGGCAGAGTCCTTTCTAATGCCCGCATTATTTACGAGGATGCTGAGGGCCCATTCACATCTCTCCATTTCATTTCACTCAGTCCTCAGCTCAGTCCTGGCCTGTCCTGGTCCTGGTCCTGTCCTGGTCTGGTCTCTTCGTTTCGTTTCCATTTCGCTTCGTTTCCATTTCGCCTCACCGCATTCTTTGCCATTTGCCTTTGACGCCACAAATAATTTTAATTGGTTTTCCTTTTCGGGGGACCCTTGTCCCAGATGGTAATGACTTTATTTCTATAACACTTTATACATATTTGGTGGGTTTCTAAAATCATAAGACCATAACTTCTAATCGATAAAGTTTCCCAGCACCAAAAAAATAAAAAAGATTCATAAAAATCATATATATTTATATAAAAGGACTAACATTGTTGTATTCAAGACTGTTTCAAGATGCTAGTTATAGAATGAATAAATTAGGGTTTTGGTTGATTCTCCTTTAAGATAATCGACAATAATTCATTTTATTAGAGACTGGCAGCTCTATATGTTTTCGTTTGGGTTTGCGTTGAAACCTCAATTGCATTTTGATTTGCCAAAATTTGCATAAAAGTGTGTGTGTTTGTGTGTTTGTGTTTGCGGGTTTGTTCTTGGAACTTTTGGTTTTGATGAATGGGAAAGCAGTTGATGTCAGTTGCAAGATTAGAAAGGTAGCAAGCTCACTCTACAAATTCTGGAAAATTATAATAAAAACCAAATAAATTATATAATATTATAAAAAACATAAAAAAAAACATTATAAAACCTGTTAATTTCTTATTTCAATCGATTTGGTATTTAAAAAAATACCAAACGGAAACCAAACCAAAAAATTCAACTTTTTTGTAGCATACATTTTAGGGCTCGTTTCCTTTACATACCTTCTTGCTAGGCAGTTCCGGTGCAAGTTTTCACTTTCGTTTATGCGCTCCTCTATGTATCTCTCTAAATATCCTTTGTGGCTCTCACTCGCTCTTTTTTTTTTTTGTTTTGCACTCCTTTTTTCACTCACTCAAACAGCTTAGCAAAACCATTGTTTTAGTTGAAGCTGCTGTTCTGTTGTTTTTGTTATTTTTGTTGTTATTGTTGTTGTTGTTGGGGTTGTCATTCCGAAGTCAGAGACACACACATACACACCCGGGCACACACATAGCGGTAGCGGTCCTTGTGGTCGTGGGAGAGGGACGGCGAATTCATTAGGCATGCGGGAATTTTAATTTCACTTGCTCACACGCGCGCACATATGTGGCGACATATTTCTCAAACATTTTCGCAGTGGCAGCGGCTTCGGACGTCAGTTGTTATTCTTGTTGTTGTTGTTGTAGTTGCTTTCACCGTTTTGTGGCGTTTCCCGTGGATGCTGTTGCTTTTGGCTTTGCCTTGGCTTCTGCTATGGGTTTTGTTTTTGCGGCGCTTTTCAATTTGCATGTCGCGCTGACCTTGCCGCCAAGTGGAAATAACTGTGCTAGCACTCACGCACACCGAGACACACTCACACACACCAATGCCAGCCACCGCACACCTACACCCGCGACGGAACACGCTGACAGCTGTCAAAAATTGCAAAAGCAGAATGGAGCGAAGCGGATTTCACAGCATGATGGGCAACATATAAATGCCAGCGAGTCGCTACGGCTGGGGCCGGTAAGGGTGCTGCTGGGATGCGATGCTACCAGAAGTCGTATCAGCCAGGCCGCCTGGATATCTGGATATCCATGGGTTGAAAGCCAGGAGAGGAGGCTATGGAGTACGCGTTTAATGTTCAAGTCAAGTGCGAAGCTTATGCGCCCCGACACGTGCGCGCAAGCGAGACGGACGTATGGGGCAGGGGGTTTGGTGCTCACTTACTCCCTTTTTTTATTCGCCCACTCCCACTCGTTCTCCCTCTCTTATTTATCTTTTTCCCGTCGCTTTCCACGGCTGCCTTTGTTCTATCCTGTGAGTGTGATGACAAATTTCTCGTTGTCTGTGTGCAGCGGCAACAAAAACAACTAAGCGAAGGATTCAGAAAGGAGCGCTTCCAGTTTAAGAGTTTTCCTTTTCTTTTTTTTTTTTTGGAGATTGGATGCTGCGCCTAAGTCTCTGTTGTTGTGTAAATTTGCATAATAAACGTTGATTTCCAACCGGAATGTGCCTATAACACGTGGCCAAATATCGTAGAAGATTTTCCTTGCCCCTCGTTTGGATGGCCGAGATGAAAATTCAATGCCTGCACGTCAAAGTGGCAGGCAACACTCGCACATTTCACATTCAACGGCCAGCCTGCGTTTTCACTTGCAATTTTCCTCTACATTGGGCACCTTGCGCCCCACACTCCGGCGCGAGTTATCCCGATTTTCCCGTTGTATCGCCGCGTTGTGTTCACAGGACCGACTCAGGACTCAGATGTTTCATCGATGGTTCCTTTGAAACAGCGGTGCCCAGCCTTGGCCCGCGCGGGCGTTCGGCTTTTCACCACGCTTTCACCATGGGCTTTTCCGGACACGAAGTTGCCCGAAGAGTAAAATTCCCACTTTCTAACGGGAGTAAAAATCCCTCTCGGGATTTTTCATTATATTGAAAAATATATACAAATATTTTATTCATTATATTTGTTATTATATAGTGTGAAATTCTTGCCAGATTCTCGTCAGTAACCGGTTCGTACTGCCATTACCGGTTCGTCCTTATGGAACCGATTAGGAGCAGCATCCTGTCAGAGAGCGGAGAGCAAAAGCTCTTAAAAACATACCGTTATTACTTTCGCGCACAGCATCCGCTTCCTGTGCTTCTTCTTCTCATCGACGTGTAGACTTTCACGAGAGATGTGCTCTCTTTCAAGCTTTAACGCGCATTCCAGCCACATACCCCCACACTACAATTAAAAGAAAGTCTCCAATATTAGGAATAGACCGCTTTCTAATAACTCCTTTAGTCGGAGAAAAACAATCATTGTTAGAGCTAACTATTGTCATATAACACACTAATATTTCCAAACATACCTATAAAAAATTTAGAATTAATCAGGTTTTTACAAAAATCCCAAAAATGGTTAATAATAATATGTAAATTACTACCGGTCTTCCTACAGTTTGAGTCCACCCTACAGTAAACTCACCACACCCTTTCGATATCTATCGCATGCGGCCAGTGTGACCACCTGCCGTGGTATTTCCAGCCACTGCCACATTGAACGTGGAGCACCGCACCATCTTTGTGAAAATTACTACGAGCGGACTAGGAATTGTCGAATTGTCCAATTACCTTTGCGGCGAAAAGTAAAAAAGCAACAAGATGTCGATTATTTCTGCCCGTCTGGCGTCGTCGGTCGCCCGCAACCTGCCCAAGGCAGCCACACAGGTATTAGCAACGAATTTTGTGCAGAAAAAGCGTTGAAAAGATGTGTCGGAAAATGTCACATAACCGTATTGATTATGCAGACGTTTAGCTCAGCGTGACTCTAAAAAATATGCTGAAACGGTGCGGAATTGTTAAGTTAACCATCTAGGCCATTTTCTGCTAATTTTTTCGAGTTTTGGACAAGAATCGGCGTTACGCAATGCAGCTAGTTTGGATGCGGCCGCCTGAGAATAGTTGGTTGCCAGGTTACATAATCAGGGCTTCGCGCAGAGAATCGCGGAAAACCATTTGTTTTAGTTAAATTGGAAGTTAAAACAAGTGATAATGGGTAAATGTGCAATGTTTTTGTTGCCAGATTACATAATTTTAGTTTGGCCGAGATGCGGTGGAAAAAAGTTTGAGGTTATGTGCTTGTGACCAGTAAGTGGTGGAGGTGAGATGACAGGAACGTAGGGTGTTAAGAACCTATTGATACCCATTGCTGAAGTTTTGAGGAGTAGGAAGGTCTTGACGAGATCAGGAGACGATAGGACAGTGTCGGTTCTGGTTGGGTGCCAGAGTACCTTACACCTTACATAATCACCATCTAATATCAATATTTTTTTTTATTACAGGCCGCCTGCAAGGCTGCTTACCCCGCCGCCAGCCTCGCTGCCCGCAAGTTCCATGTGGCCGGTACACAGCGCAGCGCTGAGATCTCCAACATCCTGGAGGAGCGCATCCTGGGTGTCGCCCCCAAGGCCGATCTGGAGGAGACTGGTCGTGTGCTGAGCATTGGTGACGGTATCGCTCGTGTGTACGGTCTCAACAACATCCAGGCCGATGAGATGGTGGAATTCTCCTCCGGCCTGAAGGGCATGGCCCTCAACTTGGAGCCCGACAACGTCGGTGTGGTGGTCTTCGGTAACGATAAGCTCATCAAGCAGGGCGATATCGTCAAGCGTACCGGCGCCATTGTCGATGTTCCAGTCGGTGATGAGCTGCTCGGCCGCGTCGTCGACGCTCTGGGTAACGCCATCGACGGTAAGGGTGCCATCAACACCAAGGACCGTTTCCGTGTCGGAATCAAGGCCCCCGGCATCATCCCCCGTGTCTCTGTGCGCGAGCCCATGCAGACTGGTATCAAGGCCGTCGATTCCCTGGTGCCCATCGGTCGTGGTCAGCGTGAGTTGATCATTGGTGATCGTCAGACTGGGTAAGATCTCTCAAAATCCAATTTGTGATACTTAGTCACCTTTGGAATACCCTTGCAGTAAGACCGCTCTGGCTATCGATACCATCATCAACCAGAAGCGTTTCAACGAGGGCCAGGATGAGTCGAAGAAGCTGTACTGCATCTACGTCGCTATCGGCCAGAAGCGTTCCACCGTCGCCCAGATCGTGAAGCGTCTGACTGACTCTGGTGCCATGGACTACTCCGTCATTGTGTCTGCTACCGCCTCCGATGCCGCCCCTCTGCAGTATCTGGCTCCCTACTCTGGATGCGCCATGGGCGAGTACTTCCGTGACAAGGGCAAGCACGCCCTGATCATCTACGACGATTTGTCCAAGCAGGCTGTGGCCTACCGTCAGATGTCCCTGCTGCTGCGTCGTCCCCCAGGTCGTGAGGCCTACCCCGGTGATGTGTTCTACCTTCACTCCCGTCTGCTGGAGCGTGCCGCCAAGATGTCCCCCGCCATGGGCGGTGGCTCTCTGACTGCTCTGCCCGTGATCGAGACCCAGGCCGGCGATGTGTCTGCCTACATTCCAACCAACGTGATCTCGATCACTGACGGCCAGATCTTCTTGGAGACTGAGTTGTTCTACAAGGGTATCCGCCCTGCCATTAACGTCGGTCTGTCCGTGTCCCGTGTGGGTTCCGCTGCCCAGACCAAGGCCATGAAGCAGGTGGCCGGTTCCATGAAGCTGGAGCTCGCCCAGTACCGTGAGGTCGCTGCCTTCGCCCAGTTCGGTTCCGATCTGGATGCTGCCACCCAGCAGCTGCTGAACCGTGGTGTGCGTCTGACTGAGCTGCTCAAGCAGGGCCAGTACGTGCCCATGTCCATTGAGGATCAGGTGCGTCATAATCTCTACAGTTGAAAACCTAATCCGATAATCCAATACCGTTTCAACCAGGTTGCTGTCATCTACTGCGGTGTGCGCGGACATCTGGACAAGATGGATCCCGCCAAGATCACCAAGTTCGAGAAGGAGTTCTTGCAGCACATCAAGACCTCCGAGCAGGCTCTGCTCGACACCATTGCCAAGGACGGTCAGATCTCCGAGGCTTCCGATGCCAAGCTGAAGGATGTTGTCGGCAAATTCCTGTCCACCTTCCAGGGTTAAGCATTGCAACCATTGCCCTAAAGAAGAATACGTGCAATCAACATCTTGGGTGTGCAGATAGACCCTGCCATCCCAGCGCGTCATAAATCAAGAGAAATTAACGTAAAGCTTAAGATAAAACAAAAATTATACAAAAAACAAGAGAAAATTCTTTTGCACATTCATATTCTTCTGCGCCCCCAGCCGGGATGGCTTTCATTCCGATGTCCTGTCACCATAACGCCGCCAAATCTTGGGAGAGAGAGAGCCGGTGCGGGCACCGTAACGAAGGCTCCATCCCCGGCTGGAATCAATTTCGAATTTCAGCGAAAAATCCGTTGCAGATCCTACATAACTCTTTAGCCGATAGATCCAATCCAATCCTCCGTTGTTCTCCTCACCTTAATGCTGTAATCAATATTAAAAATATTGTAATCGAGAATAGTCGAAATACTGTCTGTGGATGATTGTGAAACGATGATGAATTAAAACGAAACTAAATTATACTCTTATGAAATCTGTAATCTCTGTCTGGGAAGTGCAAGGATGTCCTTGTCTTGGGTGTTGTTTCGGTTCCTAATTAAGATCCCTCTGAGGAGAAAGGTATCTTGGCTTCCAGCTGATCCGGCAGCTGTCTGGCTCTTCCCAAAAACAATGGCTCTTGTTCCGCAACCTCTGACCCCTGTGCGAATTGGCCATCCCTCGCCGAGCTACCTGAGGAGCGGCATGCTGGGATAAAGAACCCCGGGAGTGGTTCAGAGTGGTTCACAGTATGCATATTTCGCTAACAGACAGCCAGAAACGGGAGCAAGACAACCCAAAAAAAGCGGCTCAATAATGCCCAGACCAGAAGAAACCCCCCCAAATTATACGGCCTAAAGTTTTTATGAGCAGCATAAAACATGCCAGAAGTGTTGAGCAGAGGAGTTCGGGGCTAACGGCCGAGAAAAATGACTTTCTTTTTATTGCATTTGTTTGGCCGTAAAAGTGTCGAAATTAATGAGAGTCATAAAACCGTCAAACTTAAATTTCGAACAGGCGCTCAGCAAAGTGGAGGAGGCGGACGCCACAGACGGGAAAAACGAGAGCCCCAACCACGAACACCCACCAAAAGCACACACACACACACACACTGTGACACACGTGCGCACAATGTGCTGGGCAATTACAGTTACCCGTGGAACAGGGCACACATCAGAGAAGAGAAGAGAAAATGAAAACGGAAAAGGAAAAGGGGGAGAAAGAAACTGCCGAATAACTGACCTGCGATCAGGAAGGTGACCTTTCCCTCAGGTACATAGGTATATAGGCCTGTGTATATGTGGGTTTTTTTGTGTATTCAGGATTGATAAGGAACAGCAGGACAAAAGGACCTTGGCAAGGGGTCTATATACTACCCGTCTGGTCTTGGATTTTTGTGTCTGGATGAGGAACATTTCTCACACTCATCATCTGTCAAAGGAAGATAGCGAAGGGTAGTATACCATCCTATATAATACCATTTAAAAATAAATAAAAAGATTAAGACTTGAAATTACACAAAACTTTATTTGCTATGTAGAGTTCAAAAGTTTGCATTGATTTTTAATTCTAAATGAATTATAGTGCATAAAATATATTAATTAGCATATTAATAGTCTATTCTCACCGTTAAGTTTCGGAATAATGGTTTTTGCACAATTTTTATGATTTATTCTTAGCATAGGACGAACAATTTGTCACACAATTAAAAAAACTAAATACAAATATTGGTATTGTTGGATGCGGTGAAGAATGTATCTATATGTATATAGCGTATGCTTGGAGAGACAACGCCGATGTTTTCGGCCAGCAAATGACTCGTTGCCCACTCTCTCGGTGTCCACAAAGTCCCGCCCCTCGCTTCCTCACTGAGTGTTTAGGTTTCAGCGGAAGGAGTGGGCGAGATTCTATTTTTATTGTTGTATTTTTTATTCACTCGGTTTTCCAGCTTCCGGTACTCACTCTCAGTGGCCAGACTCTCGGACAACCTTTGGCTTGGGGCCCAAAGATGCCGGAGCCGACTGTTGAAAGTTTGGTCTCAGGAACACTGCTCTTAGGGACTCCAGCAGATATTACGAAGATGGATTGGATTTAGGGGGGGGATTAATGGATCATGTGATTTTGTAACGAACGATAAACGAACAGAAATACATATGAAATACGCTACAAATTTAAAAATGAAAACAAATTAAACTAAACTAGGCGTTTACGCTGATCCAGGGCCATCCAGGATTACTTCCGCTGGCTCTGGCCAATGATGGAGTCCATCAGCGGACCGCTCAGCTCCGTTCGCAGAGCGATCTTCTGGAACTTGCTGCCCTGGTATTTGTTGTAAATAGCCTTTAGCTTGGCCTGGGGAGCGTCACGGGCCAACTTGGCAATCAGTCGGGTGATGGGCCGCAAGTGGGTCGGAGAGTAGCTCGAGTAGTGGGCCAGAGTTGGGGTCCAGTGCTTGTCGTTGAATCCGGTGGCAGCACGATAGTTTCCATTCAGCAAATGAAGCGACAGGAAAAGCGATGCAGCGGCAACCTATCGATGGGCACAAAGTTGGTAATCTAATTTCATAAAATACTTAGAAAATAGTAAAAAGAAACCCACCTCCGATGGCCTGTAACTGGCCAGTTCGTAGTCGACGGTGGCCAGCTCAATAAAGTACTTCGACATGGCGTGGTGCTCATCCTCGGCGCCAGCAGCCTTCGAGTAGCGCCGCAAGAAGTGAATCGGCAGTGGGCGCGAAAGATTGCAGTCGATAGCCTTGAAAATCTGCAGCTCCATCTGGCGGATCTGCCGGGCCGTGTAGGTGTCGTCGGTGATGAACACAAAGTCCCCGATGGCCGGCGGGAACAGCTCCTCGTACTTGGTGGCAATAAAGAGCGCCGTAACTCCGACCAGTTGCAAGTACGTACGCTTGGTGTCCTTAACGACCTGCAGATAGCGATCGATGATGGCCACGGCCAGCTGGAAGGTCTCCGCGGCCAGATGGAATTGCAAGTGGACCTCGTTGATCCAGTCGATCAGGACGGCACGCATCTTGTGGGACACCTCCTTCTGCCCGGCCAAATGATCCTTGTGGATGGGCTGCTGCTGCTCCACCTGGTACAGATAATCATAGATATCGTTCACATACTCGGAGACCAGGACCAGGTTCTCCTTATCATTGGCATCAATGTCCTCAACGCCGGCCAGACGCTTGCTCGAAAGCGACATGGAAGTCGGCACCGAAACTGTACTGGCCGCGGTGGCGCTGGCCGAGCTGGGGACTTTAATCAGTGGCCGGGTGGCCTCCTTCTTTACTTCCGCCTCCTTGCGCACTCCGGCGACCACAGGCTCTCGGCGCAAGCCAGAGACGCCCATTGTAGGCTTGGCCAAAGCAGCTCGCAGCTTGGTCAGGGATTTCTTGGACAGATTGCTGTCCTCGCGTTTCAATGTGGGCTCAACATTCTCACTGGAGTTTGTCTTCGCTGGAGGATTAATTAGAAAATTAGGTAAAAGGGAAAAGCTACTCCCTTTAGGATTACTTACGCTTGTTGGCGATCTCCACTGCTGGCTTGGTTGCAATGACATTGCGCATGGAGTTGGAGCGCAAAAATGCGGCCACGCCCGCCTCTGCCTTGGGTAGAGCAGCTCCATTTGTGACCGTACCCAGGGGCTGTTTCTTCCAGTGAGTGTCCACGCGAGCCTTGGCATTGCGCAGGGCATTGGTGAGCTTGAGATCCTTGGCACTGGAAACGGTTAATGGAACGTTGAGCAAGAGGAGATTATGGGCAGGGCTAGGTCGACTTACTCCTTCTGTGCTGCATCTTTGGCAGCAATTGCGCGATTCAGGCCGCGATTCTGCAAGTCGCCCAAAGCGGCACGTTTTGTGGTGACCTCCTGTGAAGGCACTGTCAATTTCTTCAGTTGGACTTGGTTGAAGTTCTCCGAGGCGTTCTGGATTTAATAAAATTCTCGTTAGAATTATTCTTAGAAGTGAAGAGGGTAGTCCTAAGAGGCTATAACAGCTATGAATGCCTAATCCCATATATGCATAACAGATGTAGGTACATATGTACATGCATATACCCTAACCCATGTCGGCCATTTTCAGAAAAGAACCGCAAGGATTATCACAGATCTCTACCTCTCCCACGTTTGCGAGATGGACAGCAATTAGCGGTGCAAGTACCGTAACCAGAAAATTGCGCCAAAATCTTGGGCTAGAGACAATGATGAACGGCACTTTTTCACCCTCTTCCTTTCCATGCCATTCTCCCCCCCCCTCCCTTTCGGACACGCCGCTTCTGACTAACGCTGCAATGGCGTCGCCTAACCCGCAACCTCTATGACCCTTTTCGATGCACTTTTAAGGCACTTTCTGGTTAATTATACTATCATAGGAAGTACTCACCTCATCGCCGCGCATTTTGAGTGTGGTGCCCACCATGTTGACTGTCTTTTTTTGTTCTAAAACAAACACTTTTTAAACACAACGAATGGACGCTTGGGTAGCGAGCGCGTTTTAGTTTTATATATACGCGGGCGTTTGTTACGATCGTTCTAAAAAATAGAATTTGTTTCGCTCGAGCAGAGGAGTAGTTGATACTAATTTAATTTACAAGTCGAAGACGGCTTGGATCGAGTTTTCTCCGAAAATTCCTGTCTGCTTACTGCTGGAGCTGGAGCCAGGTGCTGATGCGGCGGTTGGAATTTGAAATTTGATTAAGTCGCGGTGGAGGATGCCAGGGTATTCAACCCAAGAAAGAAAATATCGAACTATTTTTCGATACTTTATATATGGTCACACTGATTTGCAATATTGTTTTTTTAGCTTTGCAGCACTGAAGTAGTATTTCTTTATTACTTTTAATAGTTATTATTACTAGGCTTAAAAATAAATCAGAAATGTATTAAATAAAAAATATATAAGAGAAAGAAAAAACTTTTTCTTAACAACCCCAAAAGTATTTTTATCTAGTATTAATTTTTATCGACTATCGATAATTGACAGTTAGTGCTGCCCATAAGAATTGAATTCAAATCTTTGTAACGGAAAAAACTGATCCGCCGGGCAACTGCAAGCTTTCCAGCAAAAAAAATTGTACTTTTGCCTCTTAATTGAAGCATCGTCCGTCACTTTGGAATTGCACCAGCCATTGATTGCCTCAATTAAAAGTTGATCGTTTCAATGTGCTGGGTTTGGTTGTTTTTGCGTTTTCTTGATTTGCATTCGCAGATTTAAGATTTCCTGCTGCCAGATGCCGCGAAACATCGAAACTGGCATTCAGCGGAAATGCAGCATAATTCTTGCCTTGTTTTTGCTCCCCAGCTGATGATCAGTGTCAAGTTTTCGTCTGCTCCATCATTTTCAAGCACTTGACCACAAAACAATTGCTGAATTTTTTGCTTCTTGTATTTCTCTCTTGATTGTTTGTTTTTTGGCCCTTTGCGCCGTCTTAACGGTGCGAATCGTTCTTTTGCTCTTCTTCCGGCGCCTTGGCTCATTAGCATATATTTATGAGTATGTACGCTGGCAAACTCCAGCCAACAAGCAAAAAAAAAAACAGAAAAAGAAAAACAAGCCGAAGCCGAGCGAGAACGAGGCGGCGTCGCACTGATCGTGTTTTCAAGTTTTCCGCGCTTGGTGATTTTCACATTTCATTCGCAAAAGCTCCACCGTCGCGACCAGTTGCCTTCGTTCTGGCCCCAGCTCCGTTCGTCTCATTCGCAGCGAGTCCTTCGATCGATCCACCGCTCATTGACCTCAACTAACCGTTTTTAATAGCCAAAAAAAAATGCTCATATTTTGAGTGATTTACTGGCCGATTTGCATAGTTTTTTTGGCTGAAAAATGTTTATAATTTTGGATATGGATATAAACCAGAAGAGCGTTATGCTCCAGAGGCGATGATCTATATGGGTGCTGTGTGTGTGTGCTTGTTGTGACTTTGACTGCTGTTTAATTGTGCGCTGGCATTTAAATAAAAATAAGTGCGTCTAAATGTGAAAACAAAAGGCTGCCATTATATATAACTTTGGAAGACAGCACTCCGATTGTTCTCAGTTAGTAATAAATCCATTTCAAGCACCATTTCGTGTTATCTCGAGTGCCGTTCCATAAGGAAGAACTTAGGCAACGAACTAAAAGTAATCATAAAATTAATACTAAAAAAAAAAAACAAAAAGAAAAGTAAAGGAAAAGCAAGTACGCTGGAGTGGGCCGCAACAAATGACTCGTAATGCAATATCTGGGCAATTAATTAGTGCATAAACAGTTAAATTAACTGGCGTAAAAGCTACTACTTGGAGCTACATACAGCGGCTACTGCCTTGGTTTTCCACTGCTCCTCCCTGGCAAAAGAAATCGTACACCAGGTTTTCCTGCCCCGATTTTCGCGAAAATGTAACTGCCAGACAGAGGCCTGAAACCGCTGCCACAAATTATGACGCAAAGTACGAAAATCGGTCTGCCAGCTGAGGAATAATATATTTGCAATTTATGCAACATTCGCGTCGCATGGTTGTTGCAGCAACAAAGAGCGATTAGTGTACTCGAAGGCATCGTAATCTAAAGCTTATAATCGTTCCCAAAAAGCCCTCATTAACGCATCGTTATGGCCCAGGCAATTGGCTCCAATCAGGGTTGTCTCCAACGATGTCTGGCTTTAATTGTTTTGACCACCTTGTGGCAGCTAATCGACTCTTCAGCCCACTCCCCCCAGTCTGTCAACATCGAGCTGAGACGCAAGAGGAGCTTGCAGTGGAATGGCATTGAGGTGAGTCCACGTTCTGATATTTATCAATCGTTTGTCATTAATTCATTGTCGCGGGAAATGATATCATGATGAGCGTTAATTATTAGAAGTTGTATATCAAGTATTTTACAATGAAACCTCATTCAATATACTTCTTTTAAGATACCTCTTTCAAGATACCTCTTTCAAGATACCTCTTTCAAGTCACCTCTTTCAAGATACCTCTTTCAAACTACCTCTTTCAAGACACCTCTTTTCAGACCTCTCTTGAAATATATCTCATTTAAAAAAACATCTTTCCAGATACTACTCTCAAGCCAATTAATAATGTAATTCTAAACATGCCTAGCATTATTCACAATCGTTTAAAATATGCTCAGGTGTCGGCTTACCTGTCGCATGAATAACCCATTTACCAAAAAACAGGTGATCGTCTACGTACCCGTCAGGTCGCCAATAAAAACTGAAAAAAAAATTGCCACATTGACAGAACATGGACACAAAAATAGATACAAAGAAAACATATATTCTGACTCAACGTCAGTCTGCTGAGCTAAGCTAAAAAAAATCCAGAGGGGGTCTTAAAGGGGGGGCCTTAGAAGGGGAGTACGAGAAGCCAGCCAGAGAATCCAAAAGCGTTAAATGACCTCTGCGCAGAATTGGGCTTGGGATAATGTTTTTGTAATTCGAGAACTACAACCTAGTAAACATAAACTTTGCGATCGCGGCGACAAGTTGTCGGATTACAAGTGTCTCACGTGGTGTCCCGGTTTCGACTTTTCCAAATGCTACATAAAGAAAAATCCTATGAACTTTAAAGCTTATGATCCATTATGTAGATCATAATAGAATTGCAGTTTTCTTGCAGTGTCCTTCTCCCTAAACTTGAGATTCGGCAGGCGTCGCAGAGTCTCCATTAAATGACTAAAGAATTCATCATACGATTATAGGGAATTTGGCAAACAATCTCTGGGGCAGCTGGTGCAGCTTGGAACTTGCAGCTGCCACAGAATCACACAGCGAAAAATAAATTCCCAGACTGCAGAACCGGGGGAGTGTCAGGTGGTTCCTTCTCCCTGGGTTTTCTGTTTAGCTGCCAAGTTATTGACCCTTTCCGGTTAGAATCTTGGCTTGGTTACGCTGTTGATTACGTGATGGGATCCCCCCTTTGGCTCACACTCCTTTAAGCCTTTTCAAATTGGCCCCAAGACTATTTTCTGTGATATAATTTCCACGTGTTTGTTCAAGTTTTCGCCATTTTCCCCCCATTTCTTCTACTCTTATTTTCTGGTTGTTGTGCTTCTTTTATTTGACTCTTTTTTTTGCCCATTGTGCCCACGGGTCACGCAAAATTTCATCACATAATCAGCTTGGAAGGGGCGATTATACTGGAGTATGTGCCTGCATTTTCCACCTCCCACCGTCCTCCTCCCCAGTGTTTTTGTTTGCTTTCGTGCTTTTCCGGCAGACACCGATCCGATATTATTATGTTGTTGCCCTTGCCTCCAATTAGAGACCAATTCATTGAACATTATTTGTATTTGGAAAAGTTCAGCGGCAAAATGTGAGGTAACACCGGAGATTCGAAAGGTTAAAATAGTTTTCAAATGAAAGTACTTACTTACCTTTTTCCAATATTATTTCATTACCCTACCGTCTGAAAGACCCCTGGGCGGTTAACGACCAGCCACGCCCCTTTTCGCACAGCACCACAATGTTGGTGGTAAACATTTGCCACACAAACGGCAATTTGTAACACCTTCTCCTCGCCGGAGGCAGTCGGAGGCGGAGTTTTCATTTGATCCGATCCGATCCAAAAAGCTGAAGCGCTCTTCACGCTCCGCTGGCCAAAACGCACAACAAGTCCAAAAAGCTAAAGCCGAAATAAAGCCGAATGGAAACTGTTACAACAAATTAAATTAAATAATCGTGCAAACAGAGGCACGCATCGAATCAGACGAGATATAGCGAGTGGCTATATCTTTGTGAAAAGTCGGAATTTTATTGTTGCACCAACCTTTCCAGTGGTGACCCCAGATGTTTTTTTTCTATCGGATGTTGGGGAACCCCAATTAGAGGTTTTCTTTTTGGGGTACAAATTTTCCATTGTCTGATTGTTTGAGTGAAAGTATTTCTATTTTGGGGGGGGAAACTTGAGAAAACCCTTCTCCTTGGGTGCTCGCATCTGTTTTGGTCTGTTTAACGCTTTGCTGGCCATGTTACACTTTCCGCTTTGCATATTAAACATCTTTCGTTGCTCTTTCTATTTTACTTTCATACTTCTATTACCCCATTGCAGCTGGACGAGAGTTCTCTGCTGGAGCATCTGGTGGAGCACGAGAAGGCGCTGATCTTTGGCTCACGATTCGGAAAAGAGGGTAAGTGTTGAGCCCCCGAGGCGCTGACTTGAAAAGATTCTTAACTTTGACCCATTTACTGCGGAAAAAGGTGATACGTTCTATCAACTATAGTACCTCTTCTTAATTTTGACCTATATACCCTTAAAATGTGCCCCAGAAAGGTCTATCTAGTACTCATCTTATGTAGTTATGCTGAAAAGAAAGTGAGTTAAGTAGTTTAAAGTTTGAAATTTTACTTTGGGGATTAGACCCTTTTCTTGAAGAAAACCCTATTCTGCATAGCTCTTTATAGGTTATACTTATAGACTACTATCTGTAGTATAGTAATTGTTATCTACCTAGGAACTATTATCTATCAAGTACCTCTTAAAGAGATAGTCCTAAGAAGTACTCATTAGACCATAAACTCTTCAGTTTAAGACCTTGTTCTTTAAGAACATATATGTGTACAAAGCCTTAGAACACCCTTAACTTCTACAAGCCCTAACTCTCTAGCGTGAATCCCTTTAGCCTATATGGGTTAGTCATTTTTGCCACTGTACTATAGCTGAAGCCTTTTAACCATGACCCATAATAAACTGCAACGTGTCATTAGGCCAGCAGACCCAAAAACATCAACAACTGCAACTGAACAACAAACTTGAACTGTTAACTTGAAGGTGGAAAGGTGGATGGTGGGAGAAAACTTGGGGCTCTAGGGTTGGGTTTTCCCAGAGGGAGGGGCGTGGAAATCTGAGCAGTTGTTGTGGCATTGATTCATGGCAGGCACTTATGTTGTTTATTTTCCTGCCAGCACCCGAATTCAAACTCGTACACGTGGCACAGGGGGAGGTGATCCATAGTCCAGAGGACGAGGCGGTGGAGCAGCCAAGACGTCAGCGACGCAGCTTGAGAGCCCAAGGTGAGTGGAATATGTAGCTGGAGAACCCGGCGCCGCATCCAAGTCGAAAGCCAAAGAGCGCAACCGTTCGTGCTGCTCCAGTTGCGGTCGATATGAGAAAAGTTTAATTAATTCCAAAATGCATTCGACAGATGACGTCCAGCAGGAGATGGCCACTACCGAGGGGGTGGAAACGGAGGCAGAGGCGGAGGCCGAGGTGGAGGCGAGGCTGCAGCTCCAACAGTCGCCGCAGCTGATCGACGATGCCTTCATCTTTATTCGCCGCACCGAAAATGGAACGCAGTTTGTGGAGCATTCTCCACAGCTGCTGAAGCGCCTGGAGCGATGCTTCTACCGGAGTCCAGCGGCTGCTCTCGATCTCTGCGAGAAAGGCAGTGTGGTGAGTTCACTGAGGAAAATAATAAGATATATTTTGCATTATATATAGCATTCCTTAAATCTATTGATTTGTTTGCACTTGGCGCTTGTTTTCACTTGGCGGTTAATGGATTTTCACGGCTCGTCTCTATTGTTTTTCCGCAGCGGGGCGTTTTCCAGCAGAACGACAGCGACTTTGTGATCCACCCGCTACCCGCCAGATTTGGTGGTGGGACTCATGTGCTCTACCAGGCCCGAGTGGACAAGAACAACTACAGTGGAGCCTCGGAACCGTTAGACAGCCAACTGCAGTTCGAGCCAGATGAGGAGGAGTTCAACGAACCGAGACGACGACTTCGGGCCCAGTCCCCGGCCCAGGCCCCGCTGAGATTGCGCTACCAGCCAAGACATCATCATCACCATCATGTTCACAGCACTCATCCGCATCGTAGAAGGCGCAGGTTCATCGGCAACGCTCCCAGATCCCGCTGGTCGGAGATCCCGGAGGAGCTCTTTATCGAAACGGCCATCTTCGTGGACAGCGATCTGTTCGCTCACATGCAGCGCAACTTTCCCACCAACACCGAGGGCAAGCTGATCAGCTTCGTGATGGCCATGATCAATGGCGTCCAGCTGCTATATCACCACCACACCCTGGGTCGTCGCATCAACTTTGTGCTGAAGCGCCTGGAGATCTGGAAATCCTCGGAGCCAGCGGGCTTGTCCCGCTCGGTGGACGTGGACCGATACCTGAACAGTTTCTGCAACTGGCAGGAGAAACTGAATCCCTTCTCTGACGACGATCCGCTGCACTACGATCACGCCCTGATCCTGACGGGCCTTGACCTGGTGGCGTTCCCCAAGCCACCAGCCAAGCCCAACAGCCAGGTGGTGGGCCTGGCCACGGTGGGAGGCATGTGCACTTCCACCTTCTCCTGCACCATCAACGAGGCCAAGCACTTTGAGAGCGTCTTTGTGGTGGCCCACGAGATTGGACACAAGTGAGTAGAGTGGGTTCATAGGATTGGGCTTACTAGTAAGAGATTCTGTTCTTTTTCCAGTTTGGGAATGCGTCATGATGCCGAGGAGATTAGCTGCGATCCCACTATGCACATTATGTCGCCCAAACTAGGTAGCGGCAAGGTAACGTGGTCCAAGTGCTCCCGCACCTTCCTAGAGGACTTCCTGGCGTGAGTAAAGGACATGTTTTCTAAAAAGATTGACATTTAATCTATTATTTTTCTTTTAGGGATCCCCAAGCGGAATGCCTCTTCGATCGAGGTCAGTTTGTGGGAAATCTGGATCACTCGGCTGGGGGAATACTTCCTGGCCAGCGTTTCGATGCCAACCAGCAGTGCATGCTCCGTTTTGGAAAGAACTTTATGAGGGACCCCTCCCAAAGCCAGACGGAGATTTGTCGGGACTTGCACTGCCGGCAGGACGGATCGCCCTGGACTTCCCATCCACCTCTGGAGGGCACTGAGTGTGGTGATAATATGGTAACTAAACCCATAAGAGAAATGACCTTTGACCTCATTAAATGATACATTTTTTAGTGGTGCCGCGGTGGATCCTGCGAGACACGCTCTTCCCAAAAGGCCAGCTTCTACAGCCACAAGCCCTGGCCACAGGGAAGCGTCACTCACGAGAAGTACACCTCGAGACCCAACATGATACCCTCTCTGCTCCACGACTACAATCCGGCGGGTAATGAGCTGCCGGGAACCACCTCGAATTGGGGCGAATGGGGCGAGCCGAGTGTCTGCGAATCAGGCTGCTTGTACGGAGCTTCACGTCGTCTCTTGGAAGGCAGTACCGGGCTGAGGACCTTCAACAGGAGTTGCCTGAACTACCGGAACCGTTGCATGGGCCGTGATCGCCGCTTCGAGACCTGCACCACCCACCAGTGCCACAAGGTGGCGGTGCAGACGGTGGAGGACTTTGCCACCAACGTCTGCATGCGGGCCGGGCTTCTCGACAAGGAGCTGACGGGTGAGGGCCTTCAGCTGAGCAGCACGCCGGACACCGCCTGCATGGTGTTCTGCCGCACGAAGAACAACAGCACCAAGTCCCGGCGCTGGACCTTCCCGGACGGCACAACCTGTCGCTCTAAGAACCACAACCCGGAGGACATCACTTACTGCATTGCCGGGCGGTGCGAACGCTTCTCCTGCGACAACTCCACCTCGAACTTCTTCCGGATGGACCATAGCTTCTGCCGGGAGCGGTCCCTTCGGCCGACGAGGGACTCGGCGGACCAGGAGAGCAGGCAGGAGACCACCAGCAAGCGCTATGCAGAGCGGCAGGAGGGGATTACACCCAGAAGTCCTTATGAAAATGGTTAGTTTGGAGACTTATTATGAAGGAGTAGTCTTGATTAACCCCTTATTTATTTTGCAGAGGTCTCAAAGCGCTTCCATCCCCAAAATAATCACATAGGTAGTGGCGTGCCTCCATATAAACGAAGATCCTATCCCAAACAACATATTCCGGAGCTGCCGCGCCCACCGCCGCCAGCGTCCGCTTCACTAATAGCTCTAGATCGCCGCTCTTCGGGGGAATCATCCGAATGGGAAGTACATCCGGGCTGTCATTCCAACTGCATGACCGATTCCAAAGGCGTCCAGGGGGTCACCTCTCGGCTAACTGGAGCGGAGAGCATCCAGCTCTGCTCACGTCCAGTGCATCCTTGCGAGCGCCTGTTGACGGCGGCGGAGTTCGCTGAGCAGACCTGCGCCCGATACCGCCAAAAGGTGCGTGGTCTGTCCGGCCACGGGGCTCAGATCTCGGCTAGCATAGACGAGCCGGATCGCAGCTGTCGGGTGGGCTGTCAAGACGAGCGGATCAAGTACAGATACTACCTGGTGAACGGCCGGAATGGACATTTCCCGCCGGGCACCCGCTGCTCGCCGGTGGGGAAGCGATATTGCGTCTATGGCAAGTGCCTGGAGTTCGGCGATGATGACCTGCCCCTGGACAAGACTCATATTAGCTTGGGCCAGCTGAGGATTGGCTTTCCGCGCCGGAAAAGGAGTTTGCCAGAAGAATCCAATCAAATACATTATAGTATGAATTAGACAGCACAATTCTTGTAAGTTTTTTAATAATATTTGTCCCTCTATTCCAGATATATCCTCCGAATACATCGAATTCACCCAACCCATTCACGTCTCCGCAGACGAACTGAACAGCAACAGCCAATAGCCCAGGCTCCAAGGCCGCACTTCCCTTAGTCGACTAAGTTCTAAGTTTAGTTTAAGTAATTAAGGCTGCCCTGAGAGAAAAGAAATGCTGCCTGAGAAGTATATAAATTAAATAAATATAAACATTATAGAAGAGTCCTTATTCCGAAATCAAAATCAATATTGGAAAATGGGTTTTTGAAGAGTTGTATAATTCACAAAGTAATGCCAAATAGTGGCAGTTAAATTGAAAATTATTCTGATGGGCCATCGTCCTGGCTGCACTCTGGTAGTATTTGTATTGGTTTCCCATTTTTTGTGAGGTTTTTTTGGCGTTCGCATGCAAACGATGGCAGCAATTACCAATACTCGATACCAAAAAGGGTAACGGCAATCGCCCAAAAACATTCACACACACATAGCGAGGGCTAGGACCGAGGACTAGGAGCGAGGGCTAGGAATTTGGTTGGTGTGCGTGAAGGAAAAAATTAGATAAAACACCTACGAGCCGCTGAATATGCCACAGTCGGAAAGGAAAGCGCGCGGCGAGCAAATCGAACAAAAAACGAGAACAAAAGCTCCGAAAAAACACACAGGCCGGAAATAAGGAACTAAGCGGAACAGCGGAAAGCGAAGAAAATCGGAAGTCGGTAGTGGAAAAGTGTATGCGATTTGTATGTGATTTAGTGACTTGTGTGGAGTTGAATTACAGAGTGCCCTGAGCAGGGTCACAAGACACATATCCCTCTCTATGTCAAGTTCAATGCACCTGTCTGCACCCCTGCATTATTTGCATAGAAAAAGGACAAAGGCTAATTGATAAGTCAGAGGTCGTCTGTCCACCTAATTGGAGATAAATATACCCTGACCCGACGCTACAACTTTAGACTAATTGACATTGACATTTCCATATCCCCCTAGGGACCTATTTAAATTTGGGTCACTTTTTTTGGTAGAAAACCTTGAAAGCAACACACGCAGCTCTCCCGGGAAAACTGTGTCAAGTAGGTCTCCAAAAAATTTCGACCTCACGCAAGTGCCGAATTTTGGACTCAAAATCGAATTACTCATCAATCGAGTGTAAGGCACGTGCTAACTGTCTTTCGGAAATTTCTCAAGGACCTTGGGCCAGAAGGACCTACTTTTTGACCTGTTCTTTCATAAATTTCCATACTGCCTCCCCGGCATTACATTTCCAGTTCTTTGTCGATAATACGAGCATTCGAATTCGAAAAATCGATTCGCGGCTAATTGCTGTATTTTCATCGTAATTTTTTTTTGTTTTCGGGGGAACTTGTCGTCCTGCAGCAGGCCATGTCCTGGGCAGTGCAAAAACAGGGAACAATCATAGTGCATTAGGAGCCGTGGCAAATTGTAAAATAAATAAATAAAACATAAAACTCACATGTGAGGCTCGGCAGTGAACGCAGGTTGTGTCTCTCAGAACGCCCCCTTCTGTCCCCATTTTGCGGCGTTTCCGCCATTCCGTATTTTTTTCATTCCGTATGCACACACGCAAGGACCCGACCTGACCTGAGTTGAGAAATTGTCCAGTTGACCAGCACCTGGTCGGTCAATTGTCCACTCAGACGTCGATGAACTTGCCAGGACATCGGTTCGCTCAGCTCCAGGATTTTGGAAATTATTTTAAACAGAAAGAGGTGCCAAGTTGAAAAATCCAGGATAACCAATGAATCGTGACTGGGGGGATGTGCAGAGCCGAGGACTCTAAGCCAAGATTAAGGATTTAAGAGGCTTTAAGAGAAAGCCCTGGAAAGGGAAACTAAAAAAATGCCACCAAAGTGTCGGAGAAGATTCCAAGGACTCTATTACCATTCATCGCCGCCCAAAGGTGAGTGTTTCAGAAACTTTTAACTCTAAAGTATCTAAAATATTTCTTAATTATAATTAAATTAGTGTTAAATTTTAACTAACTTTTTCTCCCAGTGCTCAGATACACATATTCATATTCATTCATGCTGATTGAGGGGAAATTGTAGTGACAAAAACGCCAAACGTTGGCCAAAATTTGCATATTGCGTGTTGATAAAGGGTGTCGGCTCAACAAGTTACTACCAAGGGGCCGGGGGGACGATTGCCACATTAAGTGGCAAACACTAATGCGCCATTTCCGTGGCGCTTTCAAGCAGTTTTTATTGCCACTCAACGTGTCTGCGTGGGGGTTCCATTTAATGATTCACTGCGGCCGGGCCGGGACTAATTTACATGTCACATACTTACGGAGTTGCTGGAAATTCCTTAAGGTAGGAGTGGGCTCCGTGACCTTGACACATGAGGCATGTGGGAGTAGGAGGAGCTCCCATCAAAGGAGTTCCAAGGAAAGTCATTTAATGGTGTCACCCCAAAGGTATGCTATAGAAACCAGTATCTCCCACCCCCAAGGGATGCTAATCAACTTTGAACGGGACAAATGGAAATTCTATTTTCGCTCTAACACGTATTTGTTTTGGGTCAACTCTAATGAAAACGTTGACTGACTGCTCTATGTAGTGCTATGTACTCTATATCCAATGTACATGGGGGTTATTTATTCATGCCAGAAGTTGGAGGAGCGCGAACAGGACGCAATTATTCCTCCTCCTTTGCTTTTCGCCAGCGACCGTTTGGGTTTGACCACAACAGTCAACCAACCAGCCAAATTCAACACCTTTCGTTCGGGCCCAGTTAGTTTAGTTTGCCAACGTGGCTCAAGCTGGCCAGACGCAAAGAAAGCCAAGCACTATTAAAGGCGATTCAGGTAAAAGTAATGGTTGGCCGAGATCAACTTGTCACATAGTCAGTCATTCATACAATATCTAATCTAAGCCAAGTCTAAACCAAGTCTAGGTCTAGTCTAAGCCATCTCTAAGCCAAGATGTTTCGTCCTCTTGCAGTCATGCCGATGAATGGACAGCCGGGCGGACAAAATGGACGCAAACGCCGCGACAACGATGGTGCGTATGAGTAACAAAATGGCGGCAGGGGCCACTTCCTGTTTCCATTTCTCTGGCCAGATGTTGCACTTCCCAAAAACACATATGCAAAAATACGCCCCCGATATCCAGTGCCCCCGAAAAGAAAAGTTGCCGCCAACGACCTTGAAGCATTTCAAGTTGCCAAAACGCGAAACTTTCGCCCGGGGCGGAAATTGTCTCAAGTTTCCACTAATGCCACTTTAAGCGACTCCCAGAACTTGAACATTCATTGCATTTCTCTTCGTTTTAATTTAGTTTTCAGTTTTCCAGTTTTTGGGCTTCTTGGCTTCTTTTCTTGGCAAATTGCATGCAAACACGAATTTCGGCCCGGAATTTCGGGGGCGAAAATGAAATGGAAATCGTAGCAATCGGTGGCGCCCCAGGGGCCGGGGAAAGGGTCCCTATAAGCGGTTCTGGTGGGAAAATTAATTTCCACGTTTTCAATTTCCCATTTGTATTTTTTGTTTTTGCGACCGGGTAATAGATTTCTCGGTGAAGCTATCCACCATCAGGATCTGGATGCACGAGAAGGACATCGGCAAGTTGACGCGCATTTTGTGGGCGGGGCAGGGCAACCGCCTCTGCCAACAGGCCAGTAACAATGGGCGTGTCAAGCGCTTTCTGGCCGCCGTGCCCCACGTCATGGTGAGCTCCTCCGATAACAGAAGTCTCATTTCCTTCTCATTTTCCATTTCCACTTCTATTTCAAAGAATGCCATCAAGGATCTGCACCAGGCTGTGATTGACAACAATCTGGAGAGCGTTCAATCACAATTGGAGCCACCGGTGCCAAGTGCCCTCGTTACCTGCAAGGATGGCAACGGCCTGAACATCATCCACAAGGCCGCCGGACTGGGCCACACCAAGATCCTCGAGTATCTGGTGGGCATTTGGGCAGAGGGCGCCCACGAAGTAGACATCACCGGCAAAACGGCGCTCCACTGGGCGGCCAGTGCCAAAAACAACATGAGATGCTATACCCTGCTGACCCAGGCGGGATGTGACGAGGAGGCTGTGGATTATGTGAGTGGGTTTTTTTCCGATTTTTGTACGGGCCTTTGGAAGCTTTTTAATGAAAGTCAAAGTTTCAAAGGTCATTTAGGTGATGGCTTCGGGGGTATGGGTGATGGTTTATGGGTTTTGTAGTCCTCGTAGTGGGGCAACAATTAAAATGATTCATTGCGGCTATTTCAGAAAATGAAGACACCTTCGTACTATCGCCACAAGCCGCACGAAATAGAGCGGGCTTTCCTGGTTTATGTGCCGGAAGCCCCACGCGTCTCCCCCGAGAGCGTCACCGATTGGGAGGCCTTGGGCGATGACACTGGCGGCGATAATGGGGCAGGTGGCGACTCGAAGGTGGGTGTGTATTTTGGGGGCTGCCCCTCTGGTGAGTTTTAATTTTCCTATTTCCTTTCAGAAACTGGAAATGAAGGTCCTTCTGGCGCCAGGGCACCACAAGTGGCTGGACGACAGCCTTGAGAACACCTCGGAGCTGGACACCAACGACGGGTGAGTGGGAATAGTGGTTTCTTTGGAGGGATTACGTTGGCTTAGAGTTTTTGGCTGCGCTGATTTTTGATTTGTGGTTTTATGGGGCATGGCTTTGAGAGAGAATTTTTTGCATTTTGAAATCGCAGTACGAGTGCCAACGAAGACGACGATCTCTCGAAAGCGGACGCGGAACCAGTTCCGGAAGCGGATGTGGCCGCATCGCCATTGCAGCGCCGACCGGAAACCCCGGCCACGTTCAACACCATAAACGGCGATGATAGCGAAGCGGAGGTAAGTGGCAATGCCTTTTTAGCTTCCGTTTCCCCCATTTTGTTTGCTTTCGATGGTTTAGCGGCTTGCTTGCACCTTAAACCCCAAATAGAAATATAATAGATGGCTTTTGGTGTTAATTATATGCTTCGAGTGGGTGATGGAAACTCTGTGAAAGTAAGCCATTGTCGGCCCTCGCCTTTCTTGCCCTCTCACCTTTCTCTCGGCACTCTGCGCTTTTTGTTTAGAGCTGAAAAATAAAATCAAAATATATACAAATCCTTCGCTAATATTGTACATAGGCTCGAAGATGGATGGAGCGTAGAACTGAGTCACGTGGAAAGCAATCAGACGACCATTGTTTACTTTTACAGAATATTGCAAGAGCTTTAAGTCTGGAAGGAGGCGGAGGCGACGGAGGAGGCGATGGCGAAGGCGATGGAGGAGACGTGGCTGAAGAAAACGGAGTTGAGCCGGGCGGAGAAGGACACGGTGGCGAAGGCGATGCAGGAATCTTGGTGAACGGGCACGGTGATCCACAGGATGTCGAGGAGGAGCAAGTGGAAGAGCAGGATCAGGAGGATCAGGAGCAGCATCAGGAGCAAGAACAGCCAGCACAAGAAATGGCTAATGATGAGAGTGAGCTTGAAGTAAACGAAAAGACTGAAGACGAAGACCAGGAACCGGAAGCCGAAGAACCCAAAGCCGCAGAGCAGCCGGAAGTGGCTGCCGATGAGCAGAGAGATGACGAAAACGATAACGATAACGATGACGACGATGAGGTACAGATGGGCGTGCTCTAAGTGTCCTCGAATCCATTGTAGTTTCTTCACATTTTGTGTGTGCCGTTCGCCCAATCCAACCCACATTACCCCGTCCCTCTTCAATTGTGAAACTGTACAATGAAAAGCAAACAAAAACCAAACATTAAAAAAGCAAAAATAATATTATATTACCGCAGCCGGCACCCAATTGTCATTCATACAAGTTTCGTTTGTACCACAGCAAAGTAAAGCAACAAACTACTTCAGCAACTTCGCCACCAAATCAGCAGCAAAATGACAAAACTTTAGCAATCAACATTTCAGTATGAGAGCCTCGCTTAGATAATGAAAAAGCCTACCTAGCGGATTTCTTTATACATATTATACATAGATACCTACATAGATACATTTATATATAAATTTTTTGTAAAGCCCCGAGTTATGTTCTTCTCTTTCCAAATATAGTTTGAATAACAATATCTATAGCCGTAGCAATTACAGTAACCAATTAAAAAATGGAATGCGAAACCTGCAACTTGTGTCTTTTGCTTATCGTTTCTATATTGCACCCCGGGAATTTCCATATCCGTCTATTTCCGTTTCCGTATCCGTATCCGTATCCGTTTTCCCTTTCAGTTGCACTTCTCTCTCCAAAATGTGTGCTTGTGTGTTAGATCGAATCAATGCCAGTGTCTGCCCCCAATTTGTGTTTATCGATTGCCTGAAATCAGCAGCTGTTTACCCACAGATAGACTTTATAATAATGCACTCACTCGCCCGGAAGGGAACTCCTCCGGCGGAGGCACATATGCGGTGCCTTTCACTTTTCATAGCCAGAGTCTGACGTTTTCCGTCTCCGCCGGGCTCCGGCGGGGCTCTGTCAGAGCCATCTAGTTGTTGGTGGCTCCGAATGGCAACTGAACATGCAAACGTCAAAACAGTTGCAGGCATTAGATATGTGATATTTGATATAAACTAAAATTTCTCCGTATTGCCGCCCTTTCGCCCTCGCGCGATTTGTTAAGGATAATCAAGTGCAGTAGTGGGCGGATTTTATGGCAGTTGTAATAACTATTTTCCGCTGCACTTCCATTAAATAAAAAGCAAAAAAAAAATAGGATGAGCTCGTAACGGGGCGTATGCGTGATATTACGTATACGCGCCGTTGCTTGCAGGAGCCTCCCAATGGAGTCATTAAAATTTTAACAAACCTATCAATTAAATTGTCACTGTCGGGTTTATTTTTTCATAAAATTAATTGGCTAATTCCCCCCGAGCAGACCTGGCATTGGCACCTGTAGCAGCACTTAGTATAAAACATGTATAAAAAAAAGTACCTTCTGATCTTGATGTATTTATGTGACTCAGCACCTTGTAGCCATGTCCAGAACACTGTCCAAAACAAGTAAAGCATAAATCTTAAGCGGCTCCACAACTCTATGCAGGACGTTGTAGCTCCAGACAGCCGGGGAGGCCGAGCAGAAGGATCCCAGGCCGGAGAACAAGGAGGAGGAGATGCCCCGCCGGCCGAAGATGATGGCAACGAGTCCCTTACCTCCGCCATGGCCATTGAGGGCTTTGTGCAGGGTGCCCCCGAGGATTTTACAGTTCAGTCTCAAACTGCAGTTGATGAAGTATACCATTCTATCCCTTTTCTAACTTGACCTCACAACCTCTATCGCTCTGTCGTGCACTACACACCCATAAATGCAGACCATCCTTGTTCTCGAGCACTTCACATGCTTCCAAAAATCGGCACTAGTCCTATGTTTTCCATCTCATGCGAGATGTTACTCCAACTCTCCTCCCGCAGGACACACGCATCAAAGGCATCGTGGAGTCTGGCGACCTGGAGCAACTGGCCGAGATCGTGCTGAACGGCGAGGGTGGTCGCCTGATGGGCCTCACGTCCCCGGAGCCGGAAATTCAGGCCTTTCTCAACAACGTACCCACTTACATGGTAAGCTACTCCTCCGGAAGGAAGGGATATTTTTTTCTAAAATGGGGGTCTAATTACGGCATGCATTGGGTTATTTTTTTGTGTTTCGTATCGACAGGAGAAAATCCATCGCGTGCACGACGCGGCACGTGACGGAGGACTGCTGGCATTGCAGCAGGCTCTGGATCGCCGGAAGTTTGCCATTGCAAAGGACGACATATCGCCCAATGGCTCCACACCGCTGCACGTGGCCGTGCTCTTTGGCCACACGGGTGGGTCTCCAGCTCCGGCTCTGCATAGCTTCCCCCTATTTGATTTTTATTTTTATGATTGGTGATTGGACTCCCCATTTCAGACATCGTTCGGTACCTGGCCTCGCGCTTTCCGGAAACCATGACAATTACGGATAATGACGGACGCACGCCGCTTCATTACGCAGCCACAATTAAGGACAATGGTCACTTCTACCACATGCTCCTGCAGATGGGGGCCAATCCCAAATCACTGGACAAGGTGAGTAGGGGAATTTAAAGCACTGCGAGAAGAATTTTCTATAAAAAAGTATTGGATCTTAAATATTTTTAAGTATTTTTTCAAGTATATATTTGGCTTTTGATTAGTCAAGTCTAAGAATAAGAATTTGGGTGGGAAGTCAGGCAGCTGAGTCCTTTTGGCCATGAGCATTTTAAATGACACTTGAAATTGTTTTTCAATTGATTTGGAAAGGAGAGCCGAACAAGGATCGAATGTGGGCCAAGGACTCAGCGGTCGCCGTTAAAGGCTTGACTTTCAAATGTCTATTGCAGGAGAAGAAATGTTAATGGGAATGGGAATCAATATGCCATAAATTTCTGATTAGACCGAAATAAATAACCCAACATTTAAAATTCAATAACCAAACACACGCAGCTGGGCCACTCGGCCGAGTTCTACCTGGACAGGGACAAGGCGAAAAACATACTCAACTACACCGAGTTGCTGAACATTTTCGGGGCCGAGGAACTGGAGAACCAGTTGCTCACCGACCAGGGTAAGAGGACCTCCCAGACCACATAGTGGGCCACTTGGGGGCCACCTGCAGCTGTTCCCGTTACTGTTCAAGCTTGACCGTTCCACAGGCACCACCCATATCGGCACCACCCGAACTCGTTACCCGCTTAGCTTATGTACGTTGATTTTCAGTGGCGTTTGTTGTTTTCACACTCGCTTTGGCTGCTCCCACCCACCCACACATACAGACACTCACCCAATCACCCACTTACCCGCCCACGGACAATCACTCTCCCTGGGTAAACCAAAATAATTAAATACATTTGTTTGCCAACTCAAACATCCGGGTAGGGTGGTTAGTTAGCCAACTAAACGCCGTGCGAGCTCTGGCCGAGTCAGTCAGTCATCGATTTTCAGTCACACAAGTCCTTTTGCTCCGCGGCCACACACTGCGTATACGTGATACGTTTTAGCTCTAGCCTGCTACATCCTGCGAAATGGAGGGAAATCAGCGCAACGAGTTTTTCAATGAAATCATTGGCAATATCGACGACATATTCGGTATGTAAGCCCAGCACCTGCACCTCGCATCCAGCATTATCCCCCAGACATATCATGGTCATGGTGTCCTGTGTGTCCTTGTCACTGTCTTTGCTTTCATGTGGTGTGCGTGTGTCTGTGTTGTTTTGTGTAAAATGATAACCATCCACCTCGAAAATTGCTGCTGCCGTGGAACGTTTAGTTCCCGACGATCTGCACAGTGCCCGGCGGGAGCTGCAGGATGGGGAGATCTCCAGGACCCTGGAGCGCTGCTACAGCGTCATCTCGGAGTCGGGAAAACTCTTGAGTGGCACCACGGCCTCCGCCCTGTCCCACCGAAAACCTCTCAGCGCCTCGTCACTGCAGCTGTCGGTGACCAGTTACCTCAGTCGCTTCCTGAAGCGTCCTGTTTACGAGAAAATCAAGCGACGGCAAACGCGGCTTGATCACAACCTCTTCGATATCCTGTGGCCGGCCATGCGGAAGACCTCAAAGGCCCGCCACCTGGAAGAGGACATAAATTGCGGGATCATTGCACCGGACTTTGATGTGTTTGTGGTGTTCCAGGAGTTCCTGGTGCCGCTCCTGAAGGACATGCACTGTCTGAGCATCGACAACGACTTCAAGCCCCAGCCGCGCCTGGCCTACTTTCCAATGGACAATGGCGAGCGTCTGAACACAGCTGCCTTCGTCTTCGACGACGAGTCCATGCTGGTGACGCGCTGCCTTGTGGAGGCGTCCCGCAATCTGGATCAGCTAGAGCTACCCTTGAACTTGACCATCGGACAGCTGGAGCAGGCCGAACGCCTGATGATGAGCAAGATATTCACCACGAACTTTGCTGATGCCATTGGGGAGACCGATTCGGGCAACTACTTCACCCTGACCGAGCTGCTGGAGCCGGACTCGGAAGTGGCCATGATGCTAAACAGCCTGGGCCTGATGATCCCCCTGCTGGACACCCAGGACCTGGTGCAGGCCGCCGAGTCCACGGCCTTCAACGGCGCCCTGTGGCCCTATGGGCGGGGCGTGTTCGTCAACTCCGCCCACAATCTGGCGGTCTGGCTGAATTGCCAGGAGCACCTGCGGGTGATCTCCATCACCGGCGGCAAGGAGCCCGCTGACATGGGGGCGGCCTACACGCGGGTGGGCCGGGCAATATCCTACCTGGAGACGCAGCTACACTTCAAGGAGAGCTATCTGCTTGGCTACCTCCAGTCGCGGCCCAGCTACCTCGGTACCGGTCTCAAAATGACCACCATAGTGAAGCTGCCGAACCTCATGAAGGAGATGGATAATCTGCGCCACCTGTGCTCCGTCCGGGGACTCAGCATGGTCACTAATCGGCTCTCCAAGCTCACCGTGCGCCTGGTCAACATGCAGAGCATGGGAGTTGTGGAGTACGTGCTGTTCCAGGACTACTGCACGGCTGTCACCAACATCCTATCGCTGGAAAAGGACATGTCCCTGACGAACTCCAAGCACATAGCCACCATGCTGGTGAAGATCTTCAGGCGCAAGAAGAACAGCATCGTGGATCGTAACTAGGAGAAGGAGCCCGATTCCCCAAGTCCCCAGATGTATATACGAAAGCAAAGATCTCCGAGCACTGTAACCCGTAACCGTAAATGCAAATATCCGTACCCAACTCGATACTCGACACCAGACTCGTGTCCTCATCATCAAAAACAAGCAAACAAAAACACAACCTCCGCTTATGCTGCGCTTAGAGTTAATCCGTAATCGTAAGTTTCGCTTTGAGTTACACCTACCTAGACCGTGTCCTTGTGTCGTCCTTAGGGACTGTGTTCCTGTCACTTATTCGATATGATTTGCCAAGTCTCTTCAGTTCCACCATAGGCATCCTCATCTTCGTTTGTTAACCAATCCCCTTGATTCCCCCCTTCGCTTTGTGGACACTGTACATACATAGATATTCTGGGATTCGACCCACTGAGTGTGACTGAACAGATCCTGGCATTCGGGCGTGACTAATCCAGCCTCTTATCCTCCCCGCAGGTCAGGCCCAGCCAGTCAGCTTTCAGGCGAATCCCATTTTCAAGACGGAACAAGGAAAATACCTGGCGGATTGTAAGTACTTATACTTGAACATTGGATGGGCACTGTGGGGTATCTGTCTTCAAAGTACAATTATCAAATCGAATGTCAACAAATTAATGTCAATGGAAACCAGAGTCTTTATCAAGTTGTAAATAAACCAAAGCCTGTGGTTTGAGTGACTTTATGGTAACTGATCTTGATGAATATACACAGGAAATTAAAAATGTAGCTGGGACTTCAAGGGAATACTTCGTGTGATAGTAACCTCTCTTCCCACTGCAGCTCTGGCTGATCCCCTGATCAAGGCCCTCACCGAAATAGCCAACAAGCGGCCCAGGGATCCGGTGGCCTATTTGACGAGCTACCTGCAGAGCTTCATGGGCGAGCGGAAGCCCATAACCGAGGTGCAGGTGCATTCCGGGAGCAGCAAGAACAGCAGCAACTCCAACTCCACTCTGGCGATGGCCAAAGCCAACTTAAACAGAAACGGTCCTGGACCCGCCAATGCCGACCTCATTGAGCCGGACTCGCGCTCCTTCCCGGAAGAGGACGACGCGGACGGAGCTTTGGCCGTTCAGCAGATGGAGGAGCGCGACGAGCATGGCCAGAGTATGCTGCACTTTGCCTGCGCCCGGTCCCATCGCCGGGGAGCCCTGTACACGCTCATCGAGGAGTCGGGCATCGACATCACCTACCGGGACGAACTCTACCGCACGGCCAGAGATGTTTCGCTCCAGGCGAATCAGCCCAATAACGCGGCCGAGATCGATCGCTTCGTCCTGGCTCAGGCGGTTGTGGGTAAGGATATATTCTCTTGGATTACTTACGGGAGTGCTGATATTTTCTTTCACCCAGGTGATGTGGATCCCTTCGAGCAGCTTGCGCTTCAAGGCTACGATCATATCCTGGACATTGAGGACGACAGTGGCCAGTCCATCGGCGATGTTGTGCAATCCCGCCAGAACGAAGCCCTCACCGAATTCCTAACGAATCTCAGGGGCCTGGAGGAGACGCGAGAGGAGCTGCATCAGATGATCAGGGAAAACAACTTGGAGCGAGTCAAAGAGCTGACCGATGCGCCCAACGCCAAGTGGCTGGTCCGGACCAAGAACTACTATGGTAATGAGTCCACCTATAATTTTGGTTAAGATTGGATGACTCCATTGATTTTTTAGGACGCACTGCTCTGCACATAGCTGTCTTGAAGGAGTCCGAGGAGATGGTCCAGCACATGGTGAAAGTCTGTCCCGAGGCCTTGAAAATCACGGATAATGTGAGTATCCCATGCTGTATCCCAATTGAGAACTAAAAGACTTTCGCATCTAGCTGGAGCGCACTGTTCTGCACTATGCCATGGGAACGAATGCCCTGGAGGGCGTGAGCAGGATCCTCATCCAGAACGGAGCCAAGCGCACCGCCAAGGACCTGAAGGGCCGACAGCCGAGCTACTACTTCATCAACAAGGCGGACATTCTGCGCCTGCAGGAGGAGGAGGAGGAGAGCCGCTGAGGCGTGGTGCCGAGTCGAAAGTGTTTGATAGTCTAGGGTACTCTAAGTCGTTAAATAGTCCAATAAAGAACAAGTACATAGAAAATTAGCCGATAAGCCTTCAGTTTGCCGCCCTGATTGATTGGAAAACTTTCGCTATCGGTGAAGTGACTTCATTACTTTCGAAAGGCTCCCACATCGACAAGGGAATGGGGAATTCTGGGGCCAATCATACGATAAGTAAGCATGATGTTGAATATTGACCCGCGAGATAAGATTAAACTTAAGGCATCTGGCCACTGAAGAGCTTCGCGTGATTAGCAGTTGACTTTGATGAACAGCAGCGATGAACGGGGGCGGCAGTGGCGAATCAATGACGTCTTGGTTGGGGAGGATTAGTGAGGTGAGGCCTGAGTGAAGGGGCCTTTCCCTTTCTACCGTTATCGCATCCGGATTGCAAGGCACCTTGTGGGTACCCCCTTCAGAGACATTCCTCTGACGCTATCAGTTGTCCGTGTGTCCGCCAGTCCAGCAGTCCGCCTGACCACTTGTCCGCTCTGGTTCGTGTGTCCACGGGACTGATACCGGTTACGAGCCTGCACCCTTACCGTATTCCATTGTTGGTTTTCCGCTTATCAATATCGTGTTTTCGTCAAGTGTTCTGATTTGATGTCCATTAGGCGGGTATCACTTCAAACCCGACGTCTGGTCATGATTTGATTAGCTCTCTGCTGAATGGAAGGTATAAAGCGAAGTGGCTGCGATTTAGGAGTTGAGTTTTGTTGAGATCTCGAAGGCGTATGGTACCCAAAACAGAAGTGGTGTGAAGATGTCCTCAGAAACTAATACTGGTAAGTACAGGATCATTGATAATAGATCTAGATTTCTTTCGAATGGGTTCTTATTCAAAGTCTATTCCAATTAGGACCCATGATTGGGCAGCGTCACCTGCAAACCTTTTTGCTTTTTATGGCCATTGTGGTCAACTACATGGGCAAGTTCAATGCCGGAGTGGCGATCGTGGCCATGACGAACGCTGAGAGCAGCAATCCCAACTTTCCGGTAAGTCTTCAAATTAGAAATAAAGTGATTCAAGTTAATTAAAGCTAAAATTACATAGGAATATGATTGGAGTGAAATGCAGCGCTCCTACATCCTGTCCAGCTTCTTCTGGGGCTACATTTGTACCCAGTTCCTGGGCGGATGGATGAACCGAAGACTGGGAGCCAGGATAACTATGTTTATCTCTACTCTTGGTTCGTCCCTGCTGGTTCTACTGCCACCCTGGTGTGTGTCCTGGGGCGGTTGGCAGGCCTACTGCGGCATCCGGGTGGCCATGGGTCTGTTCCAGGGGCTTCTCTTCCCCTGTATTCATGCCCATCTGGCCAACTGGTGTCCGGTGAACGAGCGGAACCGGCTGGGAGCACTGGCCAACTCGGGCATCGACTGCGGCACCCTGGTGGCCATGTTCGTCAGCGGGGTGATTGCCTCCTCCAGCATTGGCTGGCCCGGCATCTTTTACGTGTCTAGTGGAATGGGCATTTGTTGGTGCATCTTCTGGTTGCTCCTGGGAGCCGACACCCCACGGAAGTCCCGGCTCATCGGTGAGGCGGAACTGAACTATATCGAAAACTCGATCAACTCCAGCCGGAAGGAGGACACGGAGAAGCTCAAGGTCACTGGCCGGATTCCAGTGCCTTGGAAGGCCATTTGGACGTCGGTTCCATTCTGGGCCCTGATCTTCACACGATGCTGTCAGACCTGGGGCTACTCCACCCTCCAGACCGAGCTGCCCGCGTACATGAACGGTGTCCTGCAGATGGACATGAAGAAGAACGCCCTGTTCTCGTCCTTGCCCTACTTCGCCTCCTGGATCATGGCCTTCGTCTATCTGTTTATCGCCGATATCCTACTGACTAGAGGCATTATGACCATCACTGCCATTCGCAAGTCGATCAACACCTTGGCCTTCTTCACGCCGGCCGTTACCCTGATCGGCGTGAGCTTCCTGGACAGTGATCAGAAGACCCTGTCCGTGGTCCTGATGTGCACCAACATCGGCATCAATGCAGGCTCGACCATCGGCAGTACCATCAACACCATTGACTTGTCCCCGAATCATGCGGGTATTATCATGGGAATCGTGAATACAGCCGCCAATATTATGCCCATTTTAACGCCCCTTCTTGTGGGAGTGATTGTTAAGGATGTGGTACGTTTTCAAACATCTTTTGTTGAACTTTGTAGGGGATATAATCGTAAAACTTCTTTTCAGACCAATCGTTTCGAATGGCAAATAGTGTTCATCATATCCGCCGTGCTCTTTTTTGTGGGTAACATAGTCTACCTTATGTTTGGTCAGATGGTGAACCAACCTTGGGATGCCCCCGACTTTTTGTCCAAGCAAAAAGACAGCCACCTCCAGGAGGAGGGACATTCCAAGGCCCTGGAGGCAAACAAAAGCCAATTCTTGGAGGATGAAAAGCGCAAGGAGAGTGAAGCCACAAACGAAAACACAGACTTGTAGACTTTACTGAAAACTACACCCGGCAGGTCCGGGTCTAGATAGCTATTTAGGTAACCTTAATTAGATTCTAGGTTGTATAAATTAAATAAATTAATTGGTTAGTAAATTACTCATTAAATATTTCCCAAAAAGAAATCTTGTTTTTGATTCAACCTCTAAATTATAAACTTATCAGGGCTACTACACTTTTGGAGTCATTATCTCCCAACAGCTATTACTACTGAAGTATCGGAAGTACTGATCATAAATTCGAGCGCCATTGACGTAGGTGTCGAGTTTAAAAACAAGATTGATTGATCTCTTAATTAAGTTGACACATGTTTCTTAACATACTGATAGAAAAGGTTGTTTGTGGGTGGAAGAGATAGTGGACTTTGAGTTTATTTATTTACTTACGATATGGTGGCCTACAAAAGTGGGTTTAACCCAATTAGTAGCTAGTCAGTTGGGTCAGGTCAGTTCCATGTTTTGAAAAAACATTCCATACATATTTCCAGATTTTACTGATTTCTGTACTTATCCGTAATCAGTAGTTTCGGCCTACCTGGGAGTTAGATTAGCTTATCGCAGAATTCCTTCAGCTATTCCGATTCCAACCAGCCTTCGATTCTATTCGCGTGCCAGGCTCTCTTAAGGCTCTGAAATATCTCTTTGTTTGTGTTATCACAGGATAATCAAACTGATTAGCTCAAAGTTGCTTATCAGGCAGAACGATTAAAATCGCAGTCGGGTGTGGCAAATGTAGATTGGAGTTCATGTGGGATCACTAGGTTACCAGACTCGAACGAGAGAAGTGTTGCACTGACCAGCTTCCTATTTTACCTTTTAAAATGACTACGGAAATAAATAAAGGTAAGGTTGGACTAAAAATTTATCAACTAAAAGTGAAAGGCCTAAAACGTGAATCCCGGAAACCTATGGACTTTAATCAGTCGCCTGATAAACTCTCACACCACTTGAAGTACTAGGAGTATAAGGTCATAAATTTCCCTGCTGGTTCACGAGATGCGATAACAAACGCTTTTCCGTTGAATTTAAAAACTACTCCATAAAATTGAATATAACAGGAAGTACGCAAATTCTTTGTGATTACAGGACCCCTACTGGGTATGCGCCATGTCCAAGTCATCTTGATTTTCCTCAACATAACTTGCCTGTACATAGGCCGCCTCAACGTCGGTGTTTCCGTGGTGGCCTTAACGAACTCGGAGTCCACAAACCCCAATTTTACAGTAAGTGTCTGTATTTAACGATTTATTCTTTGCTAATTGATTTTCACCCGCAGGAGTATGAATGGACTCTGACCCAAAAGTCCTACATCCTCTCCAGTTTCTTTTGGGGCTACATATTCACCCAGTTCCTGGGAGGATATCTGTGCAAGCGATTCGGCGTGAAGGGCGTCATGTTCTGGGGCTCCCTGATATCTGGCGTGGCCAGTGCGCTGACACCTCTCTTCATTCACTTTGGCAGCTGGCAAGGCTACTGCGGCATCCGGGTAGTGATGGGGCTTGCCCAAGGGCTGATATTCCCCTGCATCCATCAACACCTAGCTAGATGGTCACCCCCCGCGGAGAGAAACCGCCTGGGGGCTCTCAGCCACACCGGAATCGAGTGTGGCAACGTGTGTGCCATGTTCTTCAGCGGAATGATTGCAAAGAGCTCGCTGGGCTGGCCCGGAATCTCGTACATCTCCGCCGGAGTGGCTTTCGTATGGTGTGCCTTCTGGGTCTTCTTCGCCGCCAATAATGCAACAGAGTCCCGATTCATCGGGGACGCAGAGCTGCACTACATCGAGTCGTCGCTGAAGCACAATGACGACTACCACAAGACCATAATCCCCATTCCCTGGAAGGCGATTTGGACCTCGGCTCCGTTCATGGCCCTCTTTGTGGCACGCTGCTGTGAAACGTGGGGCCTGAGCACTCTGCAGGCCGAGATTCCCTCCTATATGAACGGAGTCCTCGACATGGACATGAAGAGCAACACTTTCTTCTCGGCCCTGCCATTCCTGGCCATGTGGTGCATGTCCTACGTGTACCTGGTCGCAGCCGATGTCATCTTGGCCAAAAACCGCCTGAGCCTCACGGCTCTGAGGAAGACCATCAACTCGCTGGCCTTTTGGATTCCCTGCGCCACCTTGATTGGCATCGGATTTCTGGAGAAGGAGCAAAAGAATCTGGCCATTGTCCTGATGACGATTAGTGTGGGTGTCAATAGTGGTGCCACCATCGGATCATCCCTGAACACCATCGACCTGTCGCCCAACCACGCCAGTATCCTGATGGGAATCGTAAACACAGCTGCCAATATGGTGCCCATAGTGACTCCACTGGTTGTGGGCTTTATTGTGAAAGATGAGGTGGGTTTTTTATCAAATCACTGTTTTTAAAAGATTTTCTAACCTGCTTACTTTTGTAGGAGAGCCGCTCGGAATGGCAAATAGTATTTATTATAGCCTCAGTGCTTTTCTTTATCGGCAATTGCGTCTTTCTGATTTTTGGCACTGCCGTTTCCCAGCCCTGGGACGCGGATGACTTCCTGCAGTCGCCCCAACCGGAACTGGCCATAAAGCCATCTCCTAAGGAAATATCCTTCATAAATAATAAGAAAGATCCCGCCGAATCTTTGGATAGATAATTTACATAATATTTATGCGAATAAAACAATTAACCTTACTTGTCATTTTTTGGGTTTTTTTGATTGGAATCATGATTGGAAATCACCTTGTAGCGGTCATATCACATGATGGCTTATTAGATTAGCCCAATAATGCTTATCGGCTCCTACGATTGGATTTAAATGACCACAATTCTATTCCCTGCATTTCAATTGAATTCCGGCCGTAGTCCAGTTTGGTCGATCCAGTTTTGTGTCATTCGTTGAACGATGTCGGCCGAAATAATTAAAGGTAAGAATCCGATAAGGAAAAATCTCCTTGAACATTACTTAATCCGAATGGGAATGGGTGGGATCTTTCCCACGAACTTGACACTAATTTCGACGCCCTTTAAACGTCGTAATGTGTCCGGCTCTCGAGAAAAATAATTCAGACCACTCGCACGCCCATCGAGTGATCATAAATCACTCCACCCGTGGCGCCGATAGCGGAGTCTCAAGAGCAATTCAGATTTCCTGCCTTTTGTTGTTGTGGGCAGGAAGTCCCTCAAGAGATTATCAGGGCTTGGTGTGTTTCTGACTTTTTCTTGTTTATTTCCCACCGACAGGACCTGCAGTGGGCATGCGACATGTCCAGGCTCTGCTGATCTTCCTCAACATCACCACGTTGTTTCTGGGACGCTACAATGCTTCGGTTTCCGTGGTGGCGATGACGAATGCCGACACCACAAATCCCAATTTTACGGTAGGTCCTGACTATAAAACCGAAAGAGAAGTTACTAATCCTTTAAAGTGAACAGGAATACGACTGGACGGAGCCGCAGAAGTCCTACATTCTCTCCAGCTTCTTTTGGGGATACATTTTCACCCAGTTCCTGGGCGGATATCTTTGCAAGCGCTTTGGGGTGAAAAGCGTAATGTTCTGGGGCGTGTTCGGCTCGGGAGTCTGCAGTGTCCTCACTCCGCTCTTCATCAGCTTCGGCGAGTGGCAAGCCTACTGCGGCATCCGTGTGATCATGGGCCTGGCTCAGGGTGTTGTCTTTCCCTGCATCCACCAGCACCTGGCCAGATGGTCGCCTCCGGGAGAAAGGAATCGCCTGGGGGCCCTCGCTCACACCGGCATCGAGTGCGGCAATGTGAGTGCCATGTTCTTCAGTGGAATGATCGCCAAGAGCTCCATCGGCTGGCCCGGAATCTCGTATGTCTCAGGAGGCGTAGCCTTCGCCTGGTGTCTCTTGTGGTTCATTTTGGCAGCCAATAACCCCACGGAATCTCGGTTCATCGGCAAGGCAGAGCTGGAATATGTGGAGTCCTCGCTGAAGCACAACGAAGAGTACCACAAGACTATCATTCCGATTCCGTGGAAGGCGATTTGGACCTCAGCTCCGTTCCTCGCCCTCCTCGTGGTCCGATGCTGCGAAAATTGGGGCCTTAGCACCCTCCAGGCGGAGATTCCCTCCTACATGAACGGAGTCCTCGACATGGACATGAAGAGCAATGCCTTCTTCTCGGCCCTGCCGTTCCTGGCGATGTGGTGCATGTCCTATATCTACTTGGTCGGCGCCGAGGTCCTTCTGGCTAAGGAGGCAGTAACACTGACGGTCCTGCGAAAGACCTTCAACTCGTTGGCGTTCTTTATACCCTGCGGAACACTGATTGGTATCGGGTTCCTGGACAAGGACCAGAAGAATCTCGCCATCGCCCTAATGACCATCGGAGTGGGCTTCAATAGTGGACAGACCATAGGCAGTGTCCTCAACACCATCGATCTCTCCCCGAACCATGCCAGCATCCTGATGGGAATCGTGAACACGGCAGCCAATTTTGTGCCCATTGCCACGCCCTTGGTGGTTGGATTCATTGTTCCGGATACTGTACGTTCTTTCTTTTCACCAACAAGTTCTTTAATTCATATTTTCCTTTTAATCCCTTCTAGACTAGCCGCTCGGAATGGCAAATTGTGTTTATTATTGCTGCAGCGCTCTTTTTCGCGGGAAATGTGATTTACCTCCTTTTCGGATCGGCAGTGTCCCAGCCGTGGGATGCCGAGGACTATTTGCTACCAAAGGACACTGAATTTGGGAAGGAAAATAAAAGCAAGAAGGCCGACAACGAGAAACACATTTAGTCTAGTTTAAATTTAATGTATCGCTTTAAATGAATGATAATGTTTTCATCGAAAACATTTTATAATTCGTGTAACAAGATTGTGTAAATTAAGCACTGTATATGTATTATCCGATTTTTGAGCGGAAACCCCTAACCGATTTATAGATTAAAAGCTTAATAACATTTTATGATCTATTTTTTCCAATTCCAACCATTAACATAAAGAAAACTTGAAAAACTGCATCAAAACCTTGCAACAAAATTTTTGATCGAAATTTTTCAAATTTTTCCTGATGGACCCCTTGGGAAATCCAGGATTTTCGTACAAGGCCCCTCTGATGACCATATCTTGGACAATTTTCATCCGATTCTTAAACGGAATACCTTGAAACAATTGTGGATCGATTCTCCACAAATCTGCATCAAAGCCTTGAAACAAAATTTTTGATCGATATTTTTCCAATTTTTCCTGATGGACTCCTTGGGAAATCCAGGATTTTCGTATATGGCCCCTCTGATGACCATATCTTGGACAATTTTCATCCGATTCTTAAACGGAATACCTTGAAACAATTGTGGATCGATTCTCCACAAATCTGCATCAAAGCCTTGAAACAAAATTTTTGATCGATATTTTTCACATTTTTCCTGATGGACCCCTTAGGAAATCCAGGATTTCCGCATATGTCTCCTCTGATGGCCATATCTTTGACAATTTTCATCCGATTCTTAAACGGAATACCTTGAAACAATTGTGGATCGATTCTCCACAAATCTGCATCAAAACCATGATAAAAAATTTTTGATAGAAATTTTTCACATTTTTCCTGGTGGACCCGTTGGGAAATCCATGCTTTCCGCATATGTCTCCTCTGATGACCATATCTTGGACAATTTTCATCCGATTCTTAAACGGAATACCTTGAAACAATTGTGGATCGATTCTCCACAAATCTGCATCAAAAACTTGAAACAAAATTTTTGATCGATATTTTTCACATTTTTCCTGATGGACCCCTTAGAAAAACCAGGATTTCCGCATATGTCTCCTCTGATGGCCATATCTTTGACAATTTTCATCCGATTCTTAAACGGAATACCTTGAAACAATTGTGGATCGATTCTCCACAAATCTGCATCAAAGCCTTGAAACAAAATTTTTGATCGATATTTTTCACATTTTTCCTGATGGACCCCTTAGGAAATCCAGGATTTCCGCATATGTCTCCTCTGATGGCCATATCTTTGACAATTTTCATCCGATTCTTAAACGGAATACCTTGAAACAATTGTGGATCGATTCTCCACAAATCTGCATCAAAACCTTGAAACATAATTTTTGATCGATATTTTTCACATTTTTCCTGATGGACCCCTTGAGAAATCCAGGATTTTCGTATAAGGCCCCTCTGATGACCATATCTTGGACAATTTTCATCCGATTCTTAAACGGAATACCTTAAAACAATTGTGGATCGATTCTCCACAAATCTGCATCAAAACCTTGAAACAAAATTTTTGATCGAAATTTTTCACATTTTTCCTGATGGACCCCTTGGGAAATCCAGGATTTCCGCGTATGGCTCCTCTGATGACCATATCTTGGACAATTTTCATCCGATTCTAAAGAGGTATACCTTGAAACAATTGTGGATCGATTCTCCACAAATCTGCATCAAAACCTTGAAACAAAATTTTTGATCGATATGTTTCCCATTTTTCCTGATGGACCCCTTGGGAAATCCAGGATTTCCGTATGTAGACTCCGTATATGGACATCCACTTCTTTGACATATTTTATCTTATATTTGAAAATAATACCTTAAACTATTTGTAAATCAAGTTCCTACCAAGATATATCCAAGCCCTTCAAAAAGTGCTCTTCATACTTATTTTTCAATTTTCTTGAAACTTCATCGAAGCAGTTGAAAGTCTATTAGTCATTTGCTAAATGTGACGTCTGAAGTCAACTTCTAAGAGGTTATTTTTAATTTATCTAGGTGTGTTCGCGTTGATGAATCTTAAAAAACTCTTATCTGGCTATCAACAGAAGAACTCGAAACTTCCGTCTTAGCAAGTCTGCACAAATTGCTTGGTAATTTTTTACGAAGAAGTACACAACGTTTTTTCTCATACTATCTCATACATACTTCGGGTTTTTCAGAGAGTACCATCTAAGTTTTTTTTTAATTTAGTTAATATTAATGGTGTTAATATAAAGCAGGGTATAAGAGGGGTCTGGTTTTCTAGACTGCTAGGGAACTTCCAGGTGTTGTGCAGATTTCTATGAGAATCGGTGAAAACCACAATTTGATAAGAAAAGCTTTCCAGGTAATCTATAAAGAAGCTTTGGCTCAAACGTGATTGAGTTCGTGAAAACATAACTCGATTTAAGATTATGGTTTTTTTTTTTAATTACCAAAAGGTGTATAAATTGATAGAATCAATATAAATACCTGGGCCGGGGGAACGTGGCCTGGCACATTATCGATTAGTTTATTATTTATTTAACAGGTAGCATCGCTTATCAGGTACCGCTTCCATTGTTTCGACGCGATTAAAGCCATAAAGAATAATATGCGAAAAAATAAATAAAATCATTCATTTACGATCGCAGACATTAGTTTAAATGGAAAGAGGAGTCTCTTTTCCCGATGTGAGCTTTCGGCAGGTGGAATTGTAATTCCCAACCTAATTTGACTTCGGATCGGTTGGAAAATAGAAACAAACTCATACCTGTGCTATTGACAATTGTGCCATAAATCTTTTGAGTAAATAAACATGTCTCTGGGGTGGGTGGGTGTGTGTCTGCTTTTCTTTTGTTCTATATTTTGTTTGTCTTTTCAAACTCCAACCGCGACTCCAACTAGAACTTCAACTTTGTGTAAACCCATCAATATTTGCTGATACTACGCTCGGTATGTATGTTTGTATGTACATTCGCATATATGTTTTCTCAACCCGCTGGCGAATTCTACAATAGATCGGATACGTCAGAGGCCTTCTGGAGCGAGGAGTTGCGTCAATAATCCGCCTCAATTTGCGATATTATTTGTAGCATCCATACCCCTGGGGACTCACCAGCCGACAAACAAGCCATACCATATATATTTTTTTGTCAATATATATAAAAAAGAATATCTGGTGAATGATTTCGCTCGGGGTGCTAGCTCAGGCTTTCGAAGCTTTCCGAGTGTCGTATAAATGTTGGTAATACAATGGCCATGGGTCTTAGAACCATTCTGCCAACCCAGCAGTGCAGAGCCAACACTAGGCTAAAAAGCCAGAACCATAAAGTGACTGAAAGTGCTAAAGTTTCCTGGTCTTTCGCCGCGATCACCATGACTCAAAAGATTCCGAAGGGACCCCGCCTGGGTGTCCGTCACCTGCAGTCCTTCCTGCTCTTCCTTGGACTCACGGTGATGCACATTGCCCGCCTGAACGTGAGCGTGGCCATCGTGGCCATGACCAATGCCGCCAGTACGAATCCCAATTTTCCGGTAAGTTCATTCAGTCCGTAGCCCAGAGATTTGCCTGCTGACGTGGCTGCTTTACCTCGGCAGGAATACAACTGGAATGAAAAACACAAGTCCTACATACTGTCAAGCTTCTACTGGGGCTATATCCTGACCCTGTGCCCCGGCAGCTTCTTGTGTCGACGGTACGGCGCCAAAGTGGTTCTCTTTGTGGCCAGTTTCGGAACGGCTGTCTTCAGCCTGATGACCCCCTGGTGCATATCCTGGGGCGGTTGGCAGGTCTTCTGCGCCATCCGCATTCTGCAAGGCTTGTTCCAGGGCGTCATCTTTCCCTGCGTCACCGAGCACCTCGCCATGTGGTCGCCGCCGGAGGAGAGAAATCGTCTGGGCGCCTTCAGTTACACGGGAACGGACTGCGGCACGGTGCTGGCTATGTTCATCAGTGGCATGATTGCCAAGGGCGCCATGGGCTGGCCTGGCATATCCTATGTCTCGGGCTCCCTGTGCGCTGCCTGGTGTTTCCTTTGGCTGATCTTTGCGTCCAACAATGCCACCGAATCGCGGTTTATCGGCGAGTCGGAGTGCAAGTACATTGAGTCTTCCCTGCAGCACAACGAGGACTTCCACGATCGCACCATACCCATACCTTGGAAGGCCATCTGGACCTCCGTGCCGTTCTTGGCCCTCCTGGTGACGCGCTGTTCGGAAACATACGGCCTGAGCACGCTCCAGGCAGAAATACCCTCCTACATGAACGGAGTCCTCAATATGGACATCCAGAGCAACGCCGTCTTCTCCTCCCTGCCTTTCCTGGCCATGTGGCTGCTGAGTTACGTCTACCTGATCGCCGCCGATCTCCTGCTAAAGAAGAAAATCCTCTCCCTGACCTCGGTGAGGAAGCTGTTCAACACAATGTCCTTCTGGATACCTGCCGCCGCTCTGATCGGCATCGGCTTCCTCAACGAGGACCACAAAAAGCTGGCCATCATTCTGATGACCGTGTCGGTGGGCGTAAATAGCGGCGCTACCATCGGATCTTCCCTGAACACCATCGACCTGTCGCCCAATCATGCTGGCATTCTGATTGGCTTGAGCAACACGGTGGCGAATGTGATTCCCATCCTCACCCCACTGATTGCCGGCGAAATCGTGACCGATAAGGTGAGTCATCCCAAGACAGAAAAACCCGAAATTTCAGAACCTCAAGTAAACAACCCTTTCCCCATTTCTCGCCACAGCACAATCGCGGCCAATGGCAGATCGTCTTCGGATTGGCGGCCATTATATTCTTTCTTGGAAACGTGGTCTTCGTCATTTGGGGCACTGCCAAGGCGCAACCCTGGGATGCCGACGACTATCTGCAGCCCAAGGATGCAGAGTCCGCCAAAGAAAAGTCCCCCACGCCACACGCCGAGGTCGCCCCACCCATCGATCCCATTTTGGAGCAGCAAATCACCTGGCCAGAGAGGTACACGGCAAAGGCTGTCGAGTGATTTCTTGATTTGTGGCGGAAGTGGCCGTCGCCACTTAAACAATTGATTTTGTTAATCAGTATTAACCATAAGTAGGCTGTAATTTATATTTATTCTATTTATAAGGGGTGACCGTAGCGTGCGGGGCATAAGTAAATTATTTTCAATTGACTCGCTTTTGTTCCCAATTGTTACCAATCGGCCGAGCTGGTGTTGTGATTCCAGTACTCCAATCGAGGAGGACAATCTAATCTGTTAATTTATCTCATAAATGTATATAAGTATATAAGTGCGCGAATATTTATTTTGAATTGGGGACTCTTGGCCAACAATTGTCAATGGCTGGTTGAGTGTTTTGCACTGCTTCTAGCCCAGCATTTTGTGGATGGGTTCAAAAACATTTGCCACAGCTGCATTGAACAGCTAAAAGAAAAGCAAAGAAACTGTGATACTTGGAAATAAACTGTTGACTTACCTCTCTGCTCTTTGTACTTTTCTCTATTTAAAACTCGTGCCCGATCAGGGGATTTCAGATGGCCGATTCCTGTGGAGTATTTTCATATATTTGGATCGTTATCTCTCGACAGCCCAGCCGACTCCTTGATTGGCGGGAAGTCGCTACGATTTATTTATTTATTCGCAGAATGTGATTTCATATGATTGATATTGATGGCTACTTTAGAATTTTATGATTTCAGTGGCAAAGGAATTTGATTTTTTATTGGTTTATTTAGCAACATTCTAATCTACAATACATGTTCTTTTGATACGGTAAGTGCTATACCCCTATGGTTCTTTGAATAATATTAACCAAGTCTGTGTACAAACTTGCTATTATTTATAATTTAAGCCATTTAACTTACATATGAATAGCGACTCGACAGGGAAAGTAAACTATATGCCATACCCTCGTTTGTACTTTCAAACATTTAAATTTTTCAAAACACCTGCGAAAGCAAGCTTTATAGCCCATCTCAGACCAGCCTCCTTTTAAATTGAGTAAGGTCTCTTTGCTTTATCTTATCGTCGGCTAATACAGTAGTAATTATCGCTTAACGATCGTTTTTGTCATTTGATAAAAAGCGAGTCATTCTCAATTAATGGCCGGAACCAAAGGCACACGTTATTAGCTCCCCCGATTGATATAAAGCGCCGGGCAGGCTGCCGGGTGTTATATTTGCTTTCTGATAAGACCCACAGAGCGATTCCCCCCGTCATTGTTATTGTTTGCTTTTTTTTATTCCCCCAGACATGATACTACTATTGGCTCAAGCCATATTCAGATAAAAATAGCACCTTAATTGTTTCTCAAACGGTCAATGAAATTAAACACTTCAGATCTACTGACATTTATGTGGCCATATATTAAGGGCCATATATATATATAACTTACTGCAAATAAATATAGGCCTAGAACCATTAAGAATCGTTGTCACGCGTTCGTTGCAAATCAAGTTTTGGGTGCAGCAAGTTGGGAATTTGGCGGGCAAACTAGTTTCGCTGCAGATACGCATTCACCTGTGTCTTTTTCGCTGGCAGGTGGAAAAATTGGCCAGTTCGATGATACTGGCTGATCCAAGTGGTCGTTGCACCGCGTTGCAATGGCAATCACATCATTCACCTTGGTAACAAAGGGTAAGCATCTCGGGCCAGCAAGTTCGTTATTGAAGTCTTTTGTTTTTTCGGCAGCTCCTCGGTGGGGTATTCGACACCTGCAGGTGCTGTTCCTCTTCACCTGCGGCACTCTGATGGTGGCCCAGCGGATGAACATGAGTGTGGCCATTGTGGCACTGACGAATGCCAACAGCAGCAATCCCAACTATCCGGAATATCATCTGACGGAGAAGGAGAAGTCCTACACCCTGAGCAGCCCCTTTTGGGGGTCCTGTTTGACGCAACTGATGAGCGGCTATCTTTCCAGTCGCTTTGGAGCCAAGTTGCTGCTACTAGTCATCATGGTGGTAACATCTCTGATAAGCGTTGCCACGCCCATTGTGCTGGCCTGGGGAGGCTGGCAGCTGTTGTTCGGAGTGCGTTTTGTCCAAGGCCTAGTCATGGGCGGCATGTGGCCCTGTCTCTACACCCATCTGGCCAAGTGGTGCCCGAAGCGAGAAGCAAACCGCCTGGGTGGCGTAATGGCAACGGGCTTGGATGTTGGCACCATACTGGGTTTCGCCATGAGCGGAATTCTGGCAGCATCGCCTCTGGGCTGGCCAAGCTCCTTTTATATACCAGGTGGCCAATAACCAGAATCCATTTTGTTGACATCGATTTAAGTTTGAGTCTACCATCCTTCCAGGTTACTTGGGCATTGTGTGGAGCCTCTTATGGATGCGCTATGGAGCCAACAGCCCCTCGGAATCGAAAATAATATCTCTTGCGGAACGAAAACACATTGAATTGGCCTTGGAGAAAGCTCAGGGCACGAAAGGTGGTGAGAGTCCACCAGTGCCATGGCTTCAAATCCTCACTTCACGTCCTTTCATCGTCCTGGCACTCTGCAAAATGAGTCAGGCCTGCAGCTTCTACACTCTAATGCAGCAGATTCCCCGCTATATCCACGGAATATTTCGCTACAATATCGCCGTGAATGCCCTGTTCTCCGCCCTGCCCTTTGTGGTGATGCTAATGTCCTCCTATGGATTCATCTTTTTGGCAGAGTATCTCACTCGGAACCAGCAGATATCCTTGCCCGTCCTCCGGAAGACCATCAATTCTTTTGCCTCCTGGGTTCCGGCCGTGGCCCTGGTGGCTCTCTCCTATGTCAGCGAGAACAATGTTGTGGGCAGCATGGGTTGCATGGTGGCAGCTGTGGCTGCCATTTCGGGCCAGGCCATTGGCAGTTCCCTGAACCATGTGGACTTATCGCCCAACTTTGCAGGACTGTTGTTCGGGATCAGCAACACACTGATGTCAGCGGCTGGAGTTGTGTCACCTATAGTCATAGGCCTGACGGTGACCCATGAGTCGGACCGGTCACAATGGCGTGTTGTGTTCCTCGGCATCTCCGTAATCCTCTTTGTGGGCAACTTGTTGTACGTCCTCTTCGGCCAGATGACTGTGCAGCCTTGGAATGGCTCCAAACCACCAGCAGAAACTACAGCTCAATCTGAAACCCCGCCCGAGGAAGAGGTTTCGGTGGAAAAGTTTAACTATTTCTAAATTTATATATTTTGTAACGTATTCAGTGCTTAGGTTGTTGTGTAAATATAATTTTAAATCACATTCGTCTCTGTGTCAGGCGTCCGCTGAAGTGTGGAATTCGTTGCGACCAAAGTTGGTATCTCGCAGATAATGGACCGCCGAATCGTTGATCAGAGACATTACGATGGGCTTGAAGCCCAAAAGGGAAGCCAGCTTGTACTTGAGTACCACCGATTTGATCAGTTCCACCAGCTGCGCCAGTGATTCCTCCTGTTTGGCATTTGTGGGATGACTTTGAGAGTGCAGCAAGTAACTGTGAAGCAGCAAAATTAATAAATGGTAAGTGGAAAGTAGTGATCAGTCTTACCCTTTAACAACCTGCTCTATAACATCATCGTTTATACGCTGGTGGCAACGATACTCCATCAGATAGTTGGGGACTTGCAACAAAACAAACTGGGATAAGAGGGCCTCGCTCCAGTTGATATCGAAGCCATAGGCGCGGCCCAGAATCAGAGTCTGTGGGACACTAAAAATATAAATTAAATATAATTAAATAATACATTTTAAACCAAGCTTGGATCAACAATACCTAAGCTGCGTGTTTACCAACTCTCGGAATTGCTCCCTGGTTCGTACGCCTAGGACATTGACGCAGATCTGCTGGACATTGTTGTTGTGACGCTTCTCCATGGCTTTGTTGCACAGGTCTAGTTGCATGGCCATCAGCTCCGCCCGGGAAACACTCTGTTGGGCCAGCCGAAGCTTATTGTCCAGCAAATAGTTCTCCGTTGCATGGGTATAGTTTTCCAAAGCCTCTTGCAAAAGCTTTTGAACTTCCGGAGAGCATTTTAGCCCACTTCCTGACACGGCCAGCCTTTGAATTTTGTTCACAATATTTTCTGCCTCCTCAGTCCATATATCCGCCTGCTCTTTGTACATAAGAAAGTGCAGGGCCGCCAGACGAAGCAGCTCCTTACCATCCTTTGGCTGGTATTCCCTCAAGTAACTGAGGATGGCCTGACGCAATCCACCCTTTTGATCCTCGTCGAACTGGCCCAGCAAGGACTCGAACTGCTCGTTCTCGATCAGCGAATCGAAGCAGTAAAACATCTCCCGGTAGCGGGCTATGCCAATCAGCATCCGGACAATCAGCGACCAGGACTTGGCCTTGGTTAGTTTTCCATTTAAGGCCTTAGCTTTCTGCAATACGCTGACAATGCCCTCCATGGAGCACTCGTGGACGAAGCACAGATGCGCCTTGATCAACAGTTCCACATAGATTTGATTTTGCTTTTTGTGGGAGAGGACTTGAGGGTTTCCTGAGCCTGTTCCGAGGGTCGGCGTAGGTAATCCATAGAGGGTTATGATTCCCGAAAGACGCTCAAAAGCCTCGGTTTCCTCGTAGGGTTGACCTTGTTGGTAGCGACGATAGGCCTGAAGGGCATCGCAATACTCCAGCAAACAGTTTCCCAGCATTGTGGTATTGGGAGCCAGTTCAAGGATCAAGTGGAAGTCACGATCAATGTTGTGACCCCATAGATCGGCGTTCCTGAGAGCATTCCTTGGCTGTTGGCTAGCGTGGAAGATGTAGAAACGGGGCCGCACAATGCAGGTGGTCAGTTCCAGGGCCAGACTTTCAGCAATCTAAAAGGAGATAATAAATATGATGCACTCCTACACTTTTCATTAATAGCTAACCTCTTTGGGGGTCATCCTTGTAGAAATTTGTATGTCACTGACCACCAGAAGTCTCTGGAGGCAGTCTTCGCCAGCAGCACTCTTTAGCAGAATGCCGGCATCTTTGGTCCGGAGCACGTCCAAATACTCCTTATCCAGATTCATGGCTGCCCGGTAGGCCAGTACTATGCGTCTGCCCAGCTCCACACCGCACTTCAGCTTCGAACCAATGCCCAGCAGGGTATCTAGAGTTTGCTGCTTCTCCTTGGAGGGAATCTCCTCGAACTCCAGAACCACACTATCCGAGCAGTTATCGGAAAGATCGCTGCCGCAGCGGGTCATCACGTTTTGGTTGAGCGTTATCCGATTAAACTTGGGGAAGGCACTCTTCTCAATCTCGCCCAGCAACTGGCGCTCCTTGCTGGAAAGATTACTGATGCTGGTCATACCCTCGGCTAGAGCCATGGCGAACACAATGAACCGCAGGTCGTTAGGACGGAACTCGAAGAGCTCTTGCAGACGCAATGCCTCCACAATATCCCCCTCGTCCAAGAGAGTGCTTAGCAAAGCTTCCAGTCTGGTTTCCATTTGAGAAGTCAAAGGAGTCTTGCTGGCAATGGTGAGGTCATCTATTCCAGCCAGTTCCTTCAGCTCCGAGAAGGACTTGTAGAGGACACAGCGCTCCTGCAGCATTATTTGCTCGTAGTACTCCGAATGATAGATTGCTAGCTTGGAAATCTCATCGTCAGGGAGTTGCAAGTAACACAAAACCATGTCGTACTCGATTTGATCGCGGTCGAAGGACTCGTTGGGAAACAAATGATGCTTCTTGATCACGCTAAGGGCATTCTGGAGGTGCTCGTACCGCCGAACCCCAACTTGACCTGTCGAAGAGGCAGCCTGAAGGAGAAAGTTCACTAGGATGGCGGGCGGCAGAGCATGCTGTTGAATCTCCGCCTCGTATTCCGCATGTGGTCGCAGAACTCCATTCTCCAGTTCAGCCAGCCACTTTCCATAGACAATGTCGCTCAAGGGTAGCTGCAGCAAGGTAGCCAGCTGAAGGGCTTCCTCATAGGCTCGAGCTTCCGTCAGAGCGTCCACCAATCTTCTGTACTCCGAGCTGTCTCTCTTCACCAACTGCTCTAGATCAATGGACAGTTCTCGTAGCCAAGTAGCTGCCACACCGAATACCTTGTGGAGCAAACAGAAATCCAACAGATCACAAATGTCGCCCACATCCGAGCGACAGATGCAATCGAGGAAGCGTTGCTGCTGCAGGATGCAGTCGAAGTTGCTCTGGAGTTGGATGAGCAGCAATGCAATGGAGCGTTGAATGACTTGCTTGCGGGGTAGGGGTCCGCACAGTGGCAGCGTAACTTCATCTTGGCTCCAGCTGCAAAAGAACTGACGAAGCTCCACAATGGTGCCATCGCTGAAGTCCTCCTGATGGCCAGTCATCTGCAGGAAGCGACACAGATGTGTGAACTTGGAGTCCTGGAAATAAAGGATTCGCACATTAAGGGGAATGTTTAGGAAGTCAACTTTTACTTACAGCTTGGAAGATTTCAAAGCTGTGCAGCAAGGGATTCAATTGCCCTCCAGCAACCGCTGATCTTATCAGGGACCACACCCACTCCGAGCGATTCTCATCCCGCACTTTGGCGGCCTCCTGAAGAAGACGCGTCCACTGACCGCTGGCCACCGCCAGCCAAACGAGCCAGCACCAATCCCGGTTCTGCGTGCTCAAGGTAGCCGCCAACACAGCCAACACGGGCTGCTCATGCCGGATGCAGTGTCTCAAAAGATTAATGGCACTACAATGCGGTGCGTTTCCGAGCATCATCTCCACAAATTTGGCTGTGGTGGGGATGAGTTCATCCGGAAGACTGTTGGTGCTGCATAAGATGATCGCAAACACGTCCTGGCGAGCGGTGTGCGTCAGCAAGGTGCACAAGGATTGGTCGATGTTCCCGTGCAACTGCTGAACGCTGGACTCCTGATTCGAGCTGTGAGAGGAGTTCGTCATGGTTTCCTGTGAGGAATTCGTTTGAGTTTCTCCGCTGCGTCGTGGCGGTCTTTGGAAAGCCCTCTTGTGCTGTCGGTCTCCGGACTCGAAACTCAAAGCGCGCAGCAAATGAACGCCAAGCGGCGAAGTTTTAAAATCCGGCAATAGCTTCCTTAATTCGCTCAATGGGATTTCAAAGTACTGGAAGATGAGCAACAGATGCCACCAGTCGTTGTTGGCGGCATAATACTTTAGCAAGGCCATGGGGAATTTTCCAGGTACATCTCGTATGGCCAAACGCATCAGAGATTGGTATAGTTCCAGGGGAAACTTCCTGCCATCGTTTTCTAGCTGTTGCACCAGATCCCGATCCCATTCCGCCAGCAGTTGTGAGTAACTGCCTCCGTCCTGGCTCTTTGGCAGCTTTCTCTGTAGCAACAGGAAGCTCCTTAAAGGTTGGGTATCGAAGCCCAGCATTTCACAGCATGCCACACAGTGCGTCACCAGTTCCACGTCCCCAGAGTGGTGTAACGCCAGCTGGGTGACTGTTTCGCAGGCATGGAAGAGCTGCGTCTTCGTAATCTGGCCATACAATTGTAACTGCTCGGTTATCAGGTAATAAACAGCATAAGCGCTCCTTTGCTGCTTTAGATAATGGGTGTAATTGAGCTGCGATTTCCTGGCATAACGCTGGCAGAGCCGTGGATTCGAAAATGTGACCAGTTCGCCGTGGCCAGCAGCAGCCAGGAGCGGCAGATTAACCTTCTTAAACTTCAGGAAGAGATCGTGGGCCGTGGGAAGTCCAGAGTTGGTGCTAGTCGGTCCGTGATCGAAACGGGACGTTAGAGATTTGAGATAGGGCACTCGGCCCAAACTGGTGGACGTTAGAAAACCCTCCAGGGAAGGCACACTTGGCTCCTGGCCTAGAAAATCATAAAAGATGAGCAGCGGATGGCCTTCGAAGGAGTCGGCTGCATCGTGAGTTTTCTCCAAATAAGATTGCACGCTCTTGGAAATCTGTGGAAACAAAGAAAAAGTTATTCGCGACTGAGGGGCGTTTTGGTGACTCACCAGCTCGAATCCCTCGTTGTCGTTTAAAGAATTGGACTTTAGATCCACAATGAGGTTGAGTAACGCTTCCTGATGCACTTCGCTGCCCGCCAGCGGCTCCAGCGCAGCCACAGGGACACAGTCCATCAAGAGCAATGAGTGGAGACCCCGATCTAGCAAATATTTGGCCAGAGGCTGGCGGCTAAGCAGCTCCGAATGTTGGCTCAAACACTGCATGGTGCACAAACGGCGAAGCTGGGTGGGTATATCCCCGGTCTCATCGGGGAAGAAGTATCCAGCTCGGGCAAAGTAATTTCGGAGAACTTCACTGGGTTGCTGCAGGCGCCTCAGGGCGTACTCGTACATGGAGGCGTCTATTTGCCAGGCGGAAAAAGCTTGTTCCAACGCAGAAAGCTCTTCTTCTGTATCCAGCCCCTCCTGGCATCGACCCCAGCGCTGGAGCTTACCCGTTTGGTTCTTATCTACGAGATACTGCCAGACTATTTCCTTGGAAAGGGAGCCTAAAAGAGATTCATTGCCATTGGCAAAGTACAGCTCCACCAGAAGCACCTGCAGCGCCTGCTCTGGCAGCGTCATGAGAGCTTCGATGTGAAGTCGGGGTAGCTGAACCTGGTGCTTGGCCACTAGGGTATCGCATTCCCGTAGCTGTTTGACCAAGGACCAGTGATAGGCCAGGACAGGCTCCTCCTGTTCGTACATCAGAGGCTCCCTGTTTCTGAGATGGTCCAGGACGAACTCCGACAGGTCCTCATCCTGGCACTCGCAGGCAAACTGAAAGAAGAAGCACTTCACGTCTCTGTCTACGTTACGGAGCACATCCTCAGCTTTGCAGACGAGTCTCTCGGAGAGCAGGCGCTGAACATAGGCCTGCACCACATCGTAGAAGTGGTGACGGTACTCGGACTGGGTGATATTCTTTCTTTTCGCCCAGTACTCCATGCAGAGATCGATGTGCTCACCCTTGGTGGCCACCTCCTTGATGATGGCCACCTCGCTGATGCCCGTCCAGCTTCGGAAGATCTTGTCGCGGACCTGAGCCAGCGCCTGGGCGGAATGCATCTTGAGTGGGTGGAGACTATGGAATGTTGTGCGGGTCTTTTTACATCTCTTTGTTTTTCTTTCAACGGGAACAATCAACAGTTTGATAACGGATCAGTGGGACCAGTCCAACAAGATGCACTAAATTTTTATTTTTCATAAAATTTAAATTTGAATAAAATTGTTTCCATACATATATATGTCTTAAGATATATTTTGGAACAAAGATGAAACATTTAAAAGTCTACAACACAGACATCATTTTTAACTAAAATTTTTTTTTAAATTAATTTTTAAATTTTTTATCAATTTTGTTAAATTCTGGCAACATCCTAACAATCATATGTTATCGAACCAGTTCATCAGTGGTTCATTAGTTCTTTTCATCTAGCATCTGGCAACGCCACTGGTTCCACGCTAAGTTGGCTGCGGTTCGGTGAGCGAACCAGCTCTTTCTTTTTACTTCCTTTCGGTTCCGAATAAAGCAGCAAAATGTCGAAGAGAGGTAAAAATCTCGAAAAATAATCCAATTAAATCGCTTAAAACTTGTGCAATCGTGAAAAAACAATTATGCGACAGCATCAAGTGTGCAATCACAAAGTGGATTTACTAATACTTTGTGTTATTTTATCGTTTAGGACGTGGAGGTACCGCGGGAGGAAAATTCCGCATCTCTTTGGGTCTGCCCGTTGGCGCTGTGATGAACTGCGCTGACAACACCGGTAAGTGGATGACGCTGTGCAGGATTACATGGAGCTCGTCATTATAAGCATATTCTGGTTTTAGGTGCCAAGAACCTGTATGTTATTGCCGTGCACGGAATTCGTGGTCGCCTGAACCGTCTGCCCGCCGCTGGCGTCGGTGACATGTTTGTGGCTACCGTGAAGAAGGGTAAACCAGAGCTCAGGAAGAAGGTGAGTACCCCAACTGAGGACGGATGTCATTATAGTGTGTGAATAGGTGCTCCAAGTTTTGTGACAGCTTGGGATAGACCGGCTTAGAGGCACGTTTTTCTTAGTGTTTTTGTTTTTGTCAGTTTTCCTAACAATATTTTCTTCAAGTTTGATTAAATTTAGTAGTATTCTTAACTGTTTCTGTTTTTAACTTGCTATTGATGCTTTTATTTTTGGCGGTCAAGATAACATATCGCAGTCACGTTTTTCGTTTTACAAAAACAAAGTTAACGCAACCCACTATTGTGGTTGAAAGTTGTATGAACCTCGTGTTTGAAGTTGTAGACCTAATAGGCGACACACTAAGATCCCCAAATCTGAACCTTTTATTAATTTTTTTTTCTTTTTATAGGTCATGCCTGCCGTGGTGATTCGGCAGCGTAAACCGTTCAGGAGGAGGGATGGCGTTTTTATATACTTCGAGGACAATGCCGGGGTAATAGTGAACAACAAAGGCGAAATGAAGGGCTCGGCCATTACCGGGCCCGTGGCCAAGGAATGCGCTGATCTGTGGCCCCGTATCGCATCCAATGCAAGCTCTATAGCCTAAGGAGTTTCCTTTTGAAATAAACCCATAACGCGGAAACAAGATTGTTTTAAAATTCGAATTGTCGGATCTTTTATTGAATGCATGCTGCGCCGCCGAATCTTTGGTTTTGGTGAATCTTCTCTAGGCCTTGGGTGCCTCGGTGCGCAGTGTGGGCTTGGGTCGAGTCACCTCCATCGATATCTTGCCATTGGCGCCTTTGAACAGGGCATAGCACACCTGGAAGGTGAGGCCCTCCAGGGTATCGCCATTGAACTTGGTAATAACATCGCCGCGCTGCAGTTTGTTGTCGATCTCCGGGTACTGGCCTTGTATCTGGAAAGGATCGATGGAAACACCACAAGGTAAATCACCCACTGCGCCTTGCCCGGATCAATATACATACAATATCTGCTATGGTGCATCCTTTCTCGTTCGGTGATAGCGAGAGACCCAGTTCCTTGCCGGACTTCTTCATGAAGTCCACGTTGAACTTTTCCAGTTCCGGCGGATCGGCACGATAGACCGTGAAGTTGACTGTCTTCTCGTAGGTGGCATGGAAGAACTGGTGCACCTTCAACGTGGTCATGCCGTCCACGTGGAGGGCTGCACCGTTCACATCGCAGATGTGGTCATAGATCTTGAGGCGGTTGTCGGCTGCCACTGCTCCCTCCGGATAGATGTGTGTGATAACACAGCCAGTCTAAGAGATAGGGAATGGTAGGGATAACTCTTAAAGATATTTGATTAAACGGGTAACCCACCTTCACGTGGTTGTTCTTGCCGCCACAGACGATGACTCCCAGCGGCTTCTTTTCCACCTTCATCTCGATGAGGATCTTTTTGTTCGGCTTGATCTCGGCTGTGGCGGGTTCCTGCGGCTTCTCAGCCTCCTTCTTGGCTTCTACGGTTCCCAAAAAAAGTTGGCTTACTTGTCATAGCACGGGTAACCTCTTAGACTTACCCTCTTTCTTTTTCTCCTCCGCCTCCTTGTCGGCGCGAATGGCTTCCTCGCTCTTGAGGGTCAAAAGGATCATGGTAACAACACCCTCGGCCCGTTTTAGTAATCCTGTGGCCTGGAAAGGAAAGTAAAGGTTTACCTATGGAGGGGACATCTTAAGAATCTATTCAACCCACATCATCGTAGTTGGATTCCAGGGTCACATCCTGATTTACGGCCAGTAACATGTCACCGACTTTCACGCCCGCCACCTCTGCGTTGGATCCTTCGCGCAGATCCGAGATAAAGATGCCATTGCCCACCTCGGCGTGCTTGCCATAGATGACCATGATGCCCAGGAAGCCCTCCTTGCGCACCTGCACCGTACGCGCCTTTGGGAACTGGTCGAACAAGAACTTGGTCTACAAAAGGGATGAATCAACAATTATGTTTATAGCTCTTGGTGAATCTTTGGCATGGACTCGCCTCATCCGAGGAGGTGGGGAACTTCTTGATGGGCTTCACGCACATGCCCTCATCATTGGGCTTGCGCCGGGAGGTGATCATCACCAGCTTGTCCCCATCAACGTTCTTGAACACAGCGGAGGCATTCAAGTGGCAGCGATTCTTCAGCACATTGCCATTGACCTCGACGATCTCGTCACCCGGCTTGATCTCCAGGTTGGCCAGGACTCCATTTGGATCGATGCCGGCCACAAAGCAGGCCATCTTCTGTCGATCCTTGTGGCCGGCCAGTGCGAGTCCCAGAGGCTTGCTGGCATCCCTTTGGACCTCCACTCTGCGCAGATCCTTCATCATATTGTATCGCTTGTTGATCTTAGCTGCAGGGAAGAGTCGTATTGAGGAAAGGGTTAATCGGAAACAATAAAGGATGAACTCACCCATCGTGTAGCCAAACTCATCCTCCTGCTCCTTGTCCCGATCCTTTTCCTGCTTGTTCAGCTTGCAATTTCCGGCGGAGGCTCGATCGATCTGGTGGAAGAAATAGTTTGGTCATAAGGATCAAAGGATGACTTCCTAACTTTCAGCCCACCTCATAGCCCGCCTCCGTGCGAATGCGTCCTGTCATGTCCCGCGTATCCTCGTCGTCCTCATCGGCATAGTTGCTATGTTTCTGGCGCATCGAGGCCGTGAATGTGGTATTACGCTTCTGCATCGTGTTCTGCCGGTTCATGCCAGGACCACCCATGCCCTGATTCATGCCCTGGTTCATGCCCATCCCACCTTGGCCTCCCATGCCCTGGTTGTTGTTGTTGTTCGTCTGATCCTGGTTAAACTTATTCTTGGCCTGCATATAGCCATTGGATTTGGGCTGCTGATCGTCATTCTTGTCGAACGTTTGAATCTCCAGGTCGATCTTGAAGTCGGCCTCCTTGATGAGATCGATGACGGCCTGTTCGGTGGAGTTGCGCACATCCTTACCATTTAGCGACAGGATCCGGTCGCCCACCTTCAAGCGGCCGCATAGGTGAGCAGGACTATCGGGCACAATGCCCTTGATGAAGATTCCGGTGGTCTTGGTGTTTGGCGAGTCCTTCACCTCGCCGCGCACTATACATATTCCAAAGGACTTTTTGCCCGTCTTGTCCAGGGTCACCATGTGAATGTGATCTATGTGGGAAAAGGAAACACTTTTTTATAAGGATATTCGGTATTAGTGAGTAGGATTAGAGAGTAGTAGCTCCTGATTTTTTATAAACCGTCGTTTATTAGTCTCACAAAATATTTAAAATATTAAATCGCCACATCTGTTATTACATAGTCACTATAGTTCAGTTTTTGAAAAACTTAGATTCCAATAATCTGACCCTGCAAGGTCAAGTTCTTAGCTTTTTTTTCGGATTTGTTGCAAATTTGATTAGCATTTGGTAATGAAACCATTCAATGGACACTGACCACCAGTGGCCCCCGGATTTCCCAGGAACTGAACCATCCTCGCTGTTTGGGATCGCCTTTCTTATATCCACACAAGAAATCCGATTCAATAGTCGAACATTAAGTGTTTATAAAATAATTTTTTAATTAGTTTATTATTTTATTTGTATTTATTTTATATTCTATATATTGTGAATATTCCGCGTTGCCAGCGCCCGATTTGAGTCCATTGAAAAGTGCGCCTAAACTGATTTTGCAATTAGCTGGCGGACGTTCTTGCTAACTGACTTAGTGGCTATTCTATTTTGAGTATGATTTTCGTATCGATTACACTGGCCAGCAAAGAATTACACTAAATAATATTCATTTCTTTTCATTAATAAGCCATGTAATAGAACCTCTGTTTCAGAGGGATTTGGAAAGGAATAATAGATATAGTTTTATATTGGTATAATATTTTTTCTTTGCTGCCTAGTGCTATCGATCTGGCTTCCGTTGCATTGAGTAACTTTCACTGTCTGTTATGACACCACCTCACATAATGCATAGCTTCCCCAAGACGGTCATAATATGGGTTAGTATCGCCTGTGGCCGGAGATGGTCGGGAATAGCCTTATTCAATTGCCTTTATTGCCCATATAACGTTATTAATTTGTTGGTGCGATTTGGCCAATGCTGAACTCAACACTCCGTCTGGAGGAAGCCCCGCAAGTGTTGGCCAGAAATGCCCATCGATTTTAGTTGTTTCTTTCATTGCACTTACAAATGAATAACATATGTCACGAACACACGTCAGACTGTATTGGCGCCACAAGAAACATAATGAAATAAGATAGATTTTTAAAATATTTTGATATAAATAATTATTAAAACATTTCTTAGTAAGGTTAAAATAAATAAAAACGAATCTTTCTTTCAACAAATCTGAAAGAACAAAACAAAAGAGCTGTTTTTCTGTGAAACCAGAACAAAAATATCCTTTTGCCCCAAAATGTAGGCAACGTTTTTTTTTAAAAACCGCTCTTAAATGTTCCCAAGCCGATATCAAAGGAAATCGAATACAAGATTTTGGATTTGTGAAATTTAATTTGTCTCTCAGCCTTAAATTCGTAATAAAGATTTGCATTTTAATGATACCCCCAGGGGTGGAGTGCAGTGAAAGGGGAGAAGGAGTGGGGGAAGAGGGCTATGCAAACATTTCTATTAAACGCTCGAACAAAATGAAACGAAATGAACGACGAGGAAAGGAGGAATAACTAAGGCAGCTCCAAAGGAAACTAGAGTAAACACATGCTCAAAGGCAAAGGGAAATCGAGGGGGGGCAGAGAGTAAAACCGGAAAATGGCCTCCGTGGCGTGGAACGGGAGTGGGTGTGGGGCTGGACGGCGAAACGATGTTGGAAATTAATTTCATAATAAAAAAGCGTAAGGAAACCCATTTGATAAAACAATTTCCTTTTTGCCTCCCAACAGTCATGTTTTGTTAGTAAAGTAAATTCAAAAGAGAGCAGAGTGAAAATATGGCAATGAGCTTAACGGCTCCCTCGGCCCCCTCCAGGCTGCCATCCTCCCCTTCCATGCAGGACACGCGTTCTGCCGCCGTTGACGCTAACGCTGCCTGCTGTCAGATCTCGACTCCTGATTGGCTCTCTCGCCGAAGCCACGCCCTCAGCAATGGCTGCTCCTTACTGCCGGCAGCTGGCTTTCTCTCTTTCACACCGCCACCCTCTGAGGCTGGGGAGCTGCGCTGCTGCGGCGCTGTCGGCGCATGGTTGTTGCGAGGATTTAGTTAACTGAAGTGATTTTCTACTGTTTGCTGTCGCACACATACACTGCCTCTTATGTAAGTGGCCACACGTGCGTGTAGGTGTGTGGGTGGGCTCCTGCTTCTGTGGGTGCCTCTCTGGGCCTGAGCCTGTGCCTGTGCCTGTGCCTGTGTGTGGGTGAATCCGTTGTTGACTTGTTCTCGTGTTGTACTTACATGCAGTTATATCAAATTGCTAATAATCGTTTAGCAGGCACTTCACAGGGCGTCCTGGAAATGAATAAAAATTACAGTTTTCTGCGCAAAAACACTTCAGACAACGATTCAGATTTTGGAATAATATGGAAATTGTTAGAGGTAGTAGAGGCTGGGGATTCCGGAAGTCAGAGACCCACAAGGACTTCTCTAATGCATTTGTCTATAGGAATACAATCCTCTACAAATGGGAATTTATTGAGAAGATATCATAACAATTTTAAGAAATGAAATCAATCTTAATATTATAAATATTTTAATTTAAAAATATTATTAAAAAAAGTTATGGAAACATATCTTACAGGATATCGTAGAGGGAAGATTTAGGAGATTCTATATTTCTTTATAAGATGGATCTTGTAACAGTATTTATAAGCTAAAATAAAGAGGTTAGGTGCTTAGGCCCTTTTAAGATATATCACCCATCATCTCCATACCAATACCCATATTTCAAACCCAGAAACTCTATGATAAACTCATCATCGATATAGAGAAATGCAACAGGCTTCTGCTCTCCTGCTAAGATACACAAAACAAAAGCGACCATCCGAGCCGAGTGGAAAACCAACTGAATATTCTCACGACATTTAAGGACATCTACAAACAATTACGTCCGTACATGTGTACGGCCTCCGCTCAAGTTTGAAGTTCGAACTTCCCGCCTCGGGGGGACGGAATGACGCACGGAATGCCCCCAGGACGGGGTATGGGATTATAGATATTTGTGTTTACTACGACGACCTTACATACTCGAATAATGTCCTCATAACTTTTAGTACGTGAACGTGATAGAGCAAATAATGGTGCCCACATGGCCGCCAGGATACAATTCACTTGCATCAAAGCACCCGGGAACGGTGGAAGCATCCGGATTTTCTGGATTACGCGCACCGCCCGGACATTAAAACTCAATTTGAATGACAACGCGTAAGCAAATAATTGTCCTTTTGCGACCCGTCTTCCGAGACTCAAAGTTTGCTCTCCACACGGTAGTAAGTTATTCAAATATTGAGTTTTTCAACTCGCAGGGACACGAAAGGGATGTGGTGGCCAGGCGGGGAGAACCACCCTCCCAGCAGCGATCCTTGAGTGTGCGCCGGGTATCCTCGCTGGGAGGAGAGGTCTCGAAATGTTCGCATTCGCATCCCTTTGTTTGAGTTTGGCTCGCTTCACTCCTCTAAATACATTTGATTTGTTTACCATGGCCCGAGGCCGAGCCGTAGATCTTAAGCTGCATGTAAATGCGTTAAATTAAATTTCAAACGCTTGTACTCCATCTCGGAAGGACAATGACAATCAAATGGTTGAATGGGTGGTTGGATTGAGTGGGTAGTCCTCTGACGATTTTGATTTAGTGCCCATCCGGCTGACGGGCTTAATGCGATTATGGGAATAAAGATTTGTCAGATCCATATGGAAAGTGACTAGGGAATAAAAAACAGAAGTGTCTGTAAAGAATTTATACCTATTTTTTAAATAAAATGAACTAGTTATCCTTTTGAAATCATTGCAGTTTGATTAAATATATCTTTTTCTGAAAACTCCTTGACTAAACACCATTTCTCATCCAAACAATTTTCAATATTGTTGATTTTGAACACTGATAGCCTCCCGCACGTGTTCGCACTTCGCGGTCCTTCGGACACGTGCTAATGTATTTGCGATATCCTCATCAGTACAAGCAAATATTTATTGTTCGCATTTTATTTGCAGCACAAATTGGTAATATCTATGGCCAGCATAGCCTGGCCGCCCAAAAAATCCGGGCCAGTCGCGTCTATTTTCCTTTCATTTGTCGCCATGTCGCCCACATGGCTTTGATCTAACAAATTGATTTACACTAACGATTATTTAATGAAATTCCACAAGCAGCACACCCCCTCTGGAGTGGGAAGTGTAAATTACCCGACACCCCCTCGACGACTCCAGGACACCCCTCCACGTGGCACACGTGCCCGATGACAACTTATTAGGTGTTTCCTGCAACCTCCCCCCCCTCCATTTCCATGCCCAGACTTTCCAAAGTTTCATTCTTTTTATACCCTTGCAGAGGGTATTATAATTTTGTCCAAAAGTGTGCAACGCAGTGAAGGAGACATCTCCGACCCTATAAAGTATATATATTCTTGATCAGGATCACCTCCTGAGTTGATATGAGCATGTCCGTCTGTCCGTCTGTCCGTCTGTCTGTTTCTACGCAAACTAGTCTCTCAGTTTTACAGCTATCGACTTGAAACTTTGCACACACCCTTCTTTCCTTTGCACGCAGTATATAAGTCGGAACGGCCGGGATCGGCCGACTATATCCATATAACTGATTGATCGGAAATGGTATAACTTTGGTGTTTTTAGAGTTAGAGAGTTCTTATTTGACATGAGAGCTATTTTTGGCAAAATATTACGACATGCCAAATTTCATAAGGATCGGCCGACTATATCCTATAGCTGCCATATAACTGAACGATCGGAAATGACCCAACTTTCGTGTTTTTAAAGATAGAAAGCTGGAACTTGGTACAGATTATATTTTTGGTCAGTTATTCCGACCTACAAAATTTCATTAGGATCGGCCGACTATATCCTATAGCTGCCATATAACTGAACGATCGGAAATGACCCAACTTTCGTGTTTTTGAAGATAGAAAACTGGAACTTGGTACACATTCTATTTTTAGTCAGTTAATCCGATCTACCAAATTTCATAACGATCGGTTGACTGTATCTTATAGCTGACATATAACTGTACGATCGGAAATGGTTTTTGGTAGAAATATGAACTTTCATATTTTTGAAGATAGAAGCTTGGCACCTTTTTTAGATTTTTATTGTAATTAATTGTTTTTATTATGATGTAATCATAAGGATCGGCCAACTATATCCGATGTTTGCGATATATATCCGGTTTTAGCTGCAAGGGTATATCAACTTCGGCTCCGCCCGAAGTTAGCTTTGCTTTCTTGTTTGGTTTGATTTAAACTTGTTTTCGTCCTGGAGACCCACTCGTCTAAGAGGTGTTGTGTCTTTTGTGGATTGTTGTCATGCTAACCGATGAGGAACTAATGAAGATTGATTTTCAGATACATCTCTCTGAGGCACTATAGTTTGTTATTTGTGAA